GGCGGGCGGCGCGACGCTGCGGCCCGGCGCTCCCGCCGCGGGGCCTGTCGGGAAACGGCGGGGGGTGGGGAGGGGTATGGCAGCGCCTGGCGACTGCGCCCGCGCGCGGGAAAGCCGCGTGAGGGAATGGCGAGGGGGAGGTGTTGGCAAATGTGGAATATGTAAAAATTTTCTTGAGACGGGATGTTGTTTAACGTTTGATGTTTGTACTTTCAAGCCTAATCAACGTGAAGGGAGATCCGTGAAACAGAGAGCCAACCAGCTCTAAGGGATCTCCAGGTGTTAGAAGGACAAATTGTCACTAAAATTACCTTCTTAAGATTTAGGGCTCAACATGTTTCAATGACCTCAGACCTAGGGGGAGGTTAACAAAGCTTGGGAAGAAGGATGTACCGCTGATAGTGGACACAAAGAATGCAGGATTTACAGGCCTCAAGGACATTTGGCAGAACTCCCACGATAAGGAATAAATTAATAAACCCAACTTGACAACTGCACTAAATCAGCTCCCACTGGGTAAAACAATTTCAACACGGGAAGATCCCAACCACTAACTTACGGACCACCGACCCCAAAAAAAGAAAAAGATTGAGCATGCAAAGTAATTAGCAGAGAGAATCATCAACTGATAGAATACTAATTAATACGAGAACTAGGTAACTTGTAGCTTGTAACACCAATTCCCTTATTTACTACGTATTAAAATAAATACTACTTATTTATTACGTATTTACTAAAACGTATAAATAGTAAAAAGTTTTGATAGCTGTTGTGTTTGATTTGCGGAATACCACTGAGGACCCAGGCTTGTGCAACTCTGAAATAAATTAATGTCTCGCATGTGTAATTATTGGCTTGTTGCACACCAGGTAACAAATCCGATTTTTGTGGGCAGCAGGGTGACAGGTGTGGGAGGCTGGGGGAGTGAGGGGAGGCGTGTGTAGGTGGGGTGTGTAGGAAATGTGGGTGTACAGGAGGGAGAGGGGAGTGTGACAGGGGGTGAAGGAGGGAATGGGGGCAATGACAAGGGGTTTGTGTGGGAGGGAGTCGGGGGGAAGCTCTCTCACACGTAGACATTGCCAAAGGATGGGAAGGAGGATGTCCCTGGGGAGTGCAGAATGTGGGGTCTTTCCCACCACACTCCATGGCTGGGGCTGGGCCAGAAGCCTGTGGGGCTGTTCTGTCGTGCTGCCAGAGGTTTACTCTGCCCAGCTTTAGAGTATTTAGGCACCTGGTTTCAGGGTCTCTTGCAGTGACCAGAGGGATGCAGGTGCCCCTCGTTGCCTATGGACTAATTCAAACAGAGCAGCCAGCCACACTACCACAGGCTTAGTGTGTAACTTGAGTCAGCTAGCATTTACACTGTAGCTGCCAGCACTGAGATTAACTAAATGTGTATGGGGAGTGGGCACCTCAGAGCAGGGAAGTATGGTTAAAAAGTAGGAGAACGTGGTCCACAAGGCTCATGTTGAATGACACTTGTAGGAGCCAGGATCAGATATGCCGTGGTTTGTCGCACAGCAGATAGTAGAGCAATACTTCACAGCTGGCTTTGTGTGGGTTCAAGTCCAGAGAAATCCAGAAGAAAGGCTGATAGCAGCTGCTTACGTAGAGTCAGAAGCAGAGAATGGTTTGGGTAAAAGGGACCCTAAAAATCACCTAATTCAAACCCTGCTGCCTTGAGCTAGATCAGATTGCTCAGAGCCCCATGAACCTCACATTGAACACTTCCAGGGATGGGGTTATCCGCAGCTCTTCTGGGAAACCTGTGCCAGAGCAGAAACTGCCTTCAGCCAGTCTTTGAGATGAACTGGTCACTGGCCTCCTGACCTGCTGCTTCTGGTCATTTCTGTAAATGACTGCAATAGATACCAAGTCTGATACTGTCATGTGGCTTGCAGATACTCAGGACCAAGAAATACTCAATCCATTATCTAAATTCTTGAGTTATCCCAAGGTATAAGCATGCGGCAAAGAACTTGAGGTACTCTGAAGGCAGCTGCCTACAGCCCAGGTGGGGAATGCTGTTTGACCTGTCATGGTGGTTGTTTTGGCTTTTTGGGTTGTTTTGGTGTTGTTTGTTTTTTTTTTGTTGGAGATATAAAGAGCAGGAGCTTAATCTCAGCAGCAAAAAACTTCCTTCTTGCCTAGGAGACAAGCAAGAGAGAGTGGGAGGTCTCTGTATCCCAACAGTGCTGACAGGAAAGATTTTTCTTTTTGTCAAAAACTGCCAGACATGCACAAAATGGAAGAGTGTATCACTAATATTTATCTGCAGAAAACAGCTTAAAACAGGAAAAAAATCCCTAGTGAACATCTAGAACATCATCGTATTCCAAAGAACAGATTGAAATCATCCAAAAGACTTGACAATTTATTCTGAGCTGAATGGGGATATAAATACTACTCTGGCATTAAATAGGGTTTAAATGACTGCAGAAATCTGTCAGACTACTAGAAAACTATAAACAGTAATTTGCTTGAGAATCACTTGTTTTATGATATTATTAGATTACCTGTTATATCCCTGAATTTAGAGAATTTCAGAGATATTGCAAGGTATCATTTCTTTCTTGAGGCCTCAGAGCCACTATGTGCTCAGCCTGTGTTGAACTTCAAAGCAGAATCAAATACAAAAGGCTAAGAGATCAAGCTTTCAGTCATCATGAAAAATAAAGTGATTTAACAATAAAAAACCTATGATTCAACAGAGATTAGCATGAAATAAATCAAATTAAAATTTATGTTTTCCACCCTAATCATTCATGTCACGTGTTTGACTGGTTCAATGATCCATGTTCAGATTTAAGAGTGTGGCAACTTACATTCATAAAAGTGTAATGACAAAAAGGTTACAGAACTGTCAGTGGAGGAGGGTTTAAGCTGGTGAGGACACTATAAAGAAATCAGAGGATGGTCCCATGGAGAGGAACAAAATTCAGGGGGGTGTGTTACCATAGAGGCACCTGTTGAGAGGAGAACAGAGAAAAAACTGCAGTTATGCAACAAAGTGACAGAGTTTGACATTCACAGCTCTCTCTTTAGTCAGCAAATCCATACTGTGCTTTCTGTAAGCATTGAACCGCAGCAAGAGTTCATTGTACGCCTGCTTGCTGTGCTCTAGCTGTCCTAGGAGCTCTTGAACCTTCAGATCTTTGTCTGCTGCTGCTGCCTCTTTCTCAAGGCACCTTCCTGCCCTCTGCAAGACTTCTTCCACGGTCTCTAGCTTCTCCAGCTTCTGAATCTCCCTTATCTTGAAGAGCTTTGCTCCTTTCCATGGCCAGGTTCCGTAGCTGCTCTTTCTCTTCATGTGCCCTTTCCAGCTTGCTGCCCTGAGCCCTCTGCTGACTCTGCCTGCTCAGCCCTTGCAGCAGCTTGTTGGTGCCTCTCCTGTAGGAGCTGCAGCTGCTTCTTCAGTGAATCCTCCTCCCAGGCATAGGCATCTGCTTGCTGGCTCTGAGCTTCCAGAAACTCCTTCTCTCACTCCCAGGCTCTGTGACTCTCATAAGCATATTTCTCCTGCAAGGAGCATAACTGCTGTGAGAGCTTCCTGGCCTGGGCTGCCAGCCGGAGTACTTCAGCTTCCTTCTCCCTCACAGCCTGCCTGAAGAGTGCTTCCCTGTCCTGCCACAGGTGCTTGTTCTCCTCCCACAGCTGCACGTGCCGTTTTTTGTGTTTGTTTTTGAACTGGATCATCTTTCAGTGGTTTTTGACCAGACCCATGAAGCGCCCCTCCAAATACTGAATACCCTGGGTCTGGGTTTTAATTTTCACAGCATCCTCTGCCCTCAGTTTCTTCAGCTCCATGTTGAGCTGCTCCAGGTCTCTGCAGCATTCACGTGTGTCATCCACTTTCTTCTTCAGTATAGAGACAAGGTGATTATGCTGTTCTAAGTATGAAAGCAGCGGTGCCTCCTCTCTCCACTCCTTAGAGCTCTCACAGAACTCCTCCAACCCTTTTGTCAGATCTTCCATGTCTTTGACTGTCTCTGGATCACCTGTGGAGTCAGCCATCCCTGCTCCTGTCTCCTAAGCCATGGAGCCCCTGTCTCATGCAAAGACAAGATAAAATTTTACAATGGGTGCTTCTGTCAGTGACACTTGGGATGATTAAACAGTGCCCATTGGTCGTGTGGCCAACACTGCTGCCATAAGTTGGTGGTGTTTCTCTGGAAGTCAAGAAAAAGTGATGTGGGGGAACAGGACCTCCCAAAACCAAAGTCAGCCAGCAACCACAGCTGGGCCTCCCCCTCCTCTGGTTCAGTCAGGCACACCGAGACTCAAGGTTGCCAGACTCCAAGAGCAAAAGCAAAGAATGTGGGTTTAGTATTTATGCAAGCCTATTCATTTGCTGATGACTAGCTTCACTAATTATTCCTTCTTGAGGCACTGCCCTTGTAGCTACAAGAACTGCTATTATATTTAGGTAAAAAGCTTGTAAGTGATAAAGCTGTAAATAATTCCTTACGCAATCTTTTCCCTCTGCCTTTATTTTCTCCTACAGCTCTGTATTGTAACTGCAAATAAAACACGGAGGGTTACGTCAAACTTCTAATAGATTCAAAAGATTTCTATGATAGTACATTGCTTGTTAAAAATAACTGAATAGCCTTACCCCATGCTTAGAGATTTATGAATCAAATAAAAGATCTATACAATGTTAATAATTAGTGAATGTTTTGTGATACAAAGCCTCTGTTCCTGGAGAAACAGCTCCTCATCAGAGTTTGCACACTGATCTACTGGATTATTTTAAGCATGTAATTTTAAAAATGTAGTTCTTCTTTTTCAAATAAGGAAAATATTGATATTACATATGCACCAAAAAGGTTATCGGTGCTGAATCACACAGCATGCTACCTAAACATTTGAAAAATTAGCCTGAAATTCATCTACAAGTTTTTCATGTGGATGCAGACCTGAAACAGCATGCTGATAATCAGGTTTTGTGAATTCCGAGCTTTGACTAGAGGTAAAGATTGGATGTGGGAAGGAAGCTTAAAGCAAGGATGAAAGATAATGTACAACAAAAATAAATAAATGCCTGTGAAGCACAAAGAATTTCAGAGCTGTGTAGTAGCAACTGCTACTAGTAATTGCTATTAGTACAGACACAGCTCTGCCTCCACCATCCTGCACTCTCTGACTGCTGTTGCTATTGCTACCTTGGATCCTTTGCAAATAACGGAGGAGGGAGGGAAGGATGGAAAGGTTTAGGCCATCCAGTGGAAATACAATGAAGAGCAAGGTTTAAGAAGAGAAAACTATTCTCTTACCAGGTATTTTCTTTCTCCTGTCTGTTTGTTTTTTCTCCTGTTGTGAGGTTGTGTTACCATAGAGGTAAGATGCTGAATCCAGTCACTCCAGAGCTCATGACCTCATCCAGGCTGCTTGGAGCCAGGCCAGCCCACCAGGGTGGCTGAAAGAGCTGGCAGCTCTCTGGCAGTTTCTTAGCAAACAAACATTGCTGACACTCTCAAAAGCACACAGATTTAAAAAAGGAAAGAGAATTTCCAAGCTTGAACAACTCCTCATTCTCAGCTTATGCCCTGCACATGCCAGAGGAGATCCAAATAGCAGGCTCTGACCTCAGACCACACTCAAGGTCCATAGAAAATAAAGACAGACCTTCCCCTGAACAATTTGCAACTTTATTCATCAGCTAATAAAAATCTGGCAGATAGGATAGGGAAGGGAAAAATAAATGCAACTGCAAGAAAGAAGTCAGTGCAGGTTTTGCTGAATTCTCTGGAGAAGGATACAAAGGAGAAAGAAGAGAGTGCTGTCAGTAACAGACATGAAGCAAACAAGAGAAGAAGGGCACAGTATGCATTTCAAAATGAGTAAAACCAAAAGCAATGGGAGTTGCTGCACCAGCTCAGGCTTGCAGCCTTTACTTGCAGAGCTGGGAGGTTTCTGAACACAGAGCACAAAAGAAGACCTAGGACTTTGAAGCCTGGTTTATAGCAAGTGAAAACCATGTAATTTAGAAGATATACACATATGTATATATGTATATACACACACAGGTACTAAAAAAAAAATAAATTATGAGCTAAAATAAAGATGAACTTTTAACATGAAGGAGAAGAGAGGAGGGAACTGTTGCGTTTCTCCAGACAAGAATGAATATGCATAAAGATATTATAGGAGTGTGGCTGCTTTGATTCTTAATTCCAGTTCACCTTTATGACAAAGCATATCTATTAATTTATCAAACTGCCCTTTAATGATAGCTAATTATGCACCTTTAAAATTTTGGTTATGGATGACTAAAGGCTTTTCCTTTGACTTGAGAGCAAAGTAACAAGTTTCTTGAAACTTTTTGTCTTAATCAGCTTCCCGACTCTCATTTCTCTATCAGCATATTATCATACTACTGAAATAAGGAATTCTGTATATTATGAAAAAAAGAGGTATTAAAAACTGGGGAGGAATTTTTGTACTTATGGGACAGTTTATGTTACTTGGCTCAGTTACTTGATTAACCTAGATGAGTACATAGTACTTCTGTGTCACTAGCTAATCAAACTAGTTAATTACAAGTGCAGTGTGCAAGTAAATCTTGCATTCATGTTCAGGTAGCTTTTCAAAATTTGAAAAGTGGTATGCAGAGTTTTTTGGGAGTGGTGGTATGCAGTGTCTTTTGGGAGTGGTGGTATGCAGTGGTATGCAGAGTCTTTTGGGAGACCAGAAAATTGTGTCAGTTTCTAGGAGGGCTAAAAAACCAGCAAGACACAGAATTTCTTCTACTTGATCAGAAGACAAGGAGATTGCCATTGTCACAAACAAAACATTTTATTTTGATAGCAATGAAGTTCAAGTATTAAAATTTTGTAGAGTATAGACCATGGCACATTACATGATACTTGCCTTAAGACACTATCCCTATAACAGAACCCAAAGCTGTTTTGACTTAGCAGTATATTTGAGCTTCACAGGAGATACAACTACAATAAAAACATTAATCCTGAGAAACTGAAGGTCATGTTCACAGCAACCTTTGTTTTCAGGTGAAAAATTAATTCACATAAGGAGTGAATACAAATAAATTAGGTGCCTATTCTTTTTCAGAATCACTGTAATTTCAAGAGTGGCTCTTCAAGAATGGAGAATCAAAGCAGCAACTGTACCATGTTGGTAAGAATACATTGTTCTGAAGTGTCATGTGCACATGTTCCCTAGTCAAAAAGTGTTTTTTATATGTCTGGCAGAGTGGAAGCTGCAGCAGTTACTAATCTCATCCAAAACACCTGAAGCAGGAAGATATCAAAGACTGGCAAACTGCTTTTGACATTTGTAAACTCCACAGACTGCTTGGTTGACAAGAGGAAAGTGGATTCCCTGGTAGGTTGAATAGCATCTTTCCTTTTTTCCATTCATAGTGTATAATAAATACCAAGTAGCATTTAAATTTGTATAATTAAATCAAGCAATTGTTTTTTGAGTTGTGAAGAGCTTCCTTCTCCCCTCTGCTCTAACTGAAGTAAAAGATTTCACCAAATTTTAGACTTAGCTGGAGTAAAAAACTGTGTATTTATTTTCAAAAATGTTGTCTGTCTGCATTTTGTTACACTGCATGCTGAATGGCTAACATAAACCACTGGCATGTAATAAAACTGAATTCCTATTTCATTTAAATAGGCTGAATTTATTTTTAAAAAAAGAAAACAAAATGAATATATTTTGTACTTTATGCATTTATCTGCTAGCATTTCTACAAGTTACAAACTGCAGCCTTATTTCCTATGCCTCAAAACTAAGCAAAGCCCACCACAGTCCTACCAGTCTCCTAACGGTGGCGCTGAAGCACAGGTAAGTTCACTTTTTGCAAAAATAAAAACCAAAACAAGCTAATGGATACAGGTACAAACAAGTGCACTTTGGAGAATAAATACCCAACATTCTTGTCATCACTAAAACCGGCACATTTAGATCCTTTTGAGTAGCACTGGAATAAAAATAGTTTCACCTTTACATCTTTGGCACTTAAGTATTGTATGCTAGGAAGATGATTAACACATTTTAAAGCAAATTTTTTATAACCCTGATTTTTTACAGTACATTGGAAGAAGGTCCTCTGCACCTTGTAGAATAGGACATCGACAGTACCACTTCATGCCACGCTTCTTTCATTGGGGGAGTAACTTTCATGTCCTAGAAATGTACAATTACAACTAGAGGAACTTGCAAAAACTGAGTTCACGACCATTTCATGCTGGAGAGATCTGTCACAGCATAATGAGGATACAAACACATACCAATGAGCTTTAACACTAATGTTGCTGTCTTATCAGTAAGACTTCATGAAAAATCCTAGCAATCTACAAAACCAATTGACTTGCTCTTATATTTCTGCTGGTTATTTGGATTTTTAAGGGATCAGCAATGCTTCAGTTAGACAACACAGTCATCCAGATATCACAGCAACCTCTGACACTGAGTTCTGTAAACACCTTCTTTCTTGAAGTTGCTTTCAGTGAATAAGAGATTTTAAAATCCCTACAATTTACATAATGATCTGCAAGCAGATGTTCAATTTAAAATACAAAGTGACATCTGACAGCACAAAACCAGAACAGTAACAGAGCCGAAACTGACAAAAAAGCTACTGTGTTCCTCTTCTAAAGTTCCACCCCCATGCTTTTAATTTCATTCCCAAGGTTTCTTTTTGACACTAACAAATAAAAATCCACCTTATTTTGTCAATTTTGCAACCATAAGCATCCTGAGAGGTAGTGTATCTTCTATCCAGGTGTTCGGAGAGTTCATCATCTTCTCCCAAAGGGCAGTTTCATCTGAAGTAGAATCCATCCAATCTACTGTAGTTCCATAGCTTTTGCCTAGAAAAATGTCAATTTTAAAAGAAAAAAATGTGCTGTAGAATTAAGTGCAAACAATCAAATTTGCCTGCTCTAAAATGGTTACACCTCCTCAGATAGTTGACCTAGTGCTTTGGAGATTCAGTTCTGTATTTTTACTCTTGAGAAATTTTGTCAAATACAATTTACAAAAATTTCACACAAATTTTGCCATCTTGGTCCAGAGTTTGTGGATTTTTTTATCCTTAGTCTTTTTGTCACAATCCCAAGGAAAAAGATGCCAATTGCCCATGCATCTGAGTTTAACAATAAGTTTAACAATAAAACAGGGTACTGTTTTTTGTATTTTGTACTGAAATTCAACCTTGGGTACTCTAAAATTCAAATTAAGATTTAATATTTTAATTTGTAATTTAGGTTACTATGGTGAACCATGCAAGAAATTATTTTGTGAAAAGTAGTTTGTACATTGCATTTCTTGAGAAAGCTCCAAATACATTCTCCCCTCAGATCAGAGGGCAGAATAGAAGGGAGAAATAAAAGAATTGTATGATTTTCCTGTTGTTATATCTGCACATCTTATATTACCCTTATGCTAATAACTTGTTTGCATTTATCATTTTCCTATTCAGTATCTTCCAATCTTATCCTGCATTCCTGATCTATCCTTTTATTTCCACCCACTGCTGTCTTTACACTATTTTTTTGCATGAGTAAGTTTGCAAAACATTATCACTTTTCAGGCACAGGAATAGCATATTCCTGTACTTTAAACAGTACCAGATACACTGTATGGCCACACACAGGTTTCTTTCCAGTACTACTCCTTGTCAGTCATCCTAACCCTCCTAACGCTACTATTATTTACATTTCAGGATCTGTTCTGAAGAATAGGTATGTTTCTGAATGAACTTGTTCAAGAGAAAAGAAAGACTGAAAGAAAAGAGAAGAAATGAAAAAGGAAAAAAAAAAAAAAAAAAGGCAAGACTGCTTTGTAAATTAAGTATAAATGTGGTGATTGTCCAGTACCTGTTCCAAGGCCTATCCGGAGGCCCCCCAGAAAATGGTTTGCTAGTTTGTTGTGATCCCAGACTGTGAGTTCTATGCAGGCTTCTTTTAAATCTTCTGGTCTAAAGCCATCATAGACCATGGTGTGGTTGAATACCGGGTTTGTCGTTTTTGCAACTGTCCTTGTTTTCTGGCGACTTTTTCTGCTGGTGTCTGGAAGAATGGTACTTCAGAGAGAAAAAGCATTGTCAGTTTGCACTTGTACAGCACAGCCAGCATTAAACATACTAAAAAGGCAAAAGCTGCTGATTAACTGTGTTTTGCATGTTAAAGTAGAACTGAAGATAAGGTGCTTTACAGAGATGGAGCGAAGGGTCATATTCTCAGCCCCTTACAGGAAATACTGGCAGCAGGTATCCACCCTTGTGCTTCAGAGGATGTAAGGGCAAGTCAGGTGGGGAAGAGGCACAAGTGAGTTTATTTGCTGTGTTATCACTGATGATGCTGAAACATTTTTTGCTGCCAGAGATTTCCCCAACCACCTTGTTATTCTTGTCTCTTCACATCTTTAGTCTGTAGGCGGAAAGGAAGGGGGAAGAAATGCAACTGTTTTCACACTATTACACTATTTCACGCTTGTCTCCTCCCCAAATTTGCTAAGCTAAACCATGTTTCGCCACAACCGTGCTTTGCTTAAACGTGAATAAAAGCCAGAACAGTTAGACTAGTCCTTCCAGCAAGTGACTGAGAGACAAAACCAAAGTGTAATAATGACACAGAAAGCTCTCCCTGTAAGTTTTAGTTGGTACATACTTAGTCTCTGGAAGTTGTAAACTATGCAGGACAATTTGCACTACATTAAAGAAGAATCAGAAGGCAATTCAGTGTTCTTTTCATATGAATGTAGAAAAAGAAGATACAATTAGAAAGCACAATGGTAGCATTATTAGGCCATCACGTTTTATGACTTCAACCACAATTCTTACCATTTAATGAAAGAATTGAGCCTATTGCCTCTCAGAAGAGGGAGGTTATGGCATTCCTTCACCCAGATGTGGACCTCACCAGTAGATAGAGTCTTCTTTCCTGTAAAAATAAAATATCTGCTTAAGGAGATGCCTTTTAAATATATTTTGTCTGACACAGCAGTTCTTGCCCATTTGTCGAGGTGATATTCAGCCTGGACTTATCTCACATCTTAATTCAACATTGCTCTCTGTACTCTGAAAGTTGAAATCTTCATCCCATCAAAGTACTACAAGATCACATCATGTCTGCATTCCTACAATGACTTTTCTTCTGATACAACTAAGCAGACACATGCCACTGGTCTTCTCTTCCCAAGACTCTAGATAAACAAACAGATCAGATTGTCATCAGCCTATATGATGTTAGCATTTATTGTTGTACTTTCAAATAAGCTCTTTTATGCTCTTAATATATTTGATTCTTACTGACTGTCTGTCTGGATTAAAGACCTGACCTGACTTCACTCTCAGATTTGTCCACTATCTGTTGCCAGACAAGATTAAACCAAACTGATCAGACTGCTATAAATTTCTGCTTTCTAAATATCTGCTGCTACTTCTACATCTAGTATTGCTTGAAATTCAGTGTGTTATCATTGTTTAGCACATCACAGCATCTGTCTGATGATTTATAATCTCTAAAATTATACAAAAACCAGAATTTTGTTACATGTATATATTGCATTACAGATTTTAGATTATGACAATGAGGTAATTTCTTCATCAGTGACATTAAAAACAACAAGAGATCTCAAAACAGTCTTTGGGGTCCTTAACTGCATTCACAATCAGAGTGACTTAGTCCTCTAAGGAAGAAAACAGAAAACTTTTATGTTGAAAGAAGCTGTCTGAAGTGAATGACAAACATTAAACAAGGGTCTTTTTTTTTTTAGTTAAAAAAAAAGGACAAAATTCCCAAAGGCTTGATGAATCCAAGCAAAGCAGTAATGCTTACCTCCAATTGGATGTGGGACATACTGGAGGGCTAGTTTCATCTCCCCTCTGTTTTCTAGATTAAGAGTTACTGCTGAAGTCTGAAATGAAAAAAAAGCCAAACATCTGATATTAAAATGGTGCTGTACTTGCTCCATATCTTCAGAAGGTTTACTCCATATTTGGTTAACAGGCACCTTCAGATTTCTGTTGCACTGACAGATTTCATTGTCATAAGACAAATACTTTGAAATTCCTACTCCTTAGATTGTGAGAAAGTTTTTTGTACTGTAATAGCTAGCTAGACTAAAAGACATCTCAGAACTGTATTTCTATGTATAAGTATTTATGACTATAATCAGCACAAAACCCACAGAACACACAAGACCAAGCTTAAATAATGATTTGGTTTTGCACTTACACAGCAGAAAATGCAAAACAGCCAACCTACCCTTGGCTTGAGAGGAAACCAGTTTATCTGCTTATTGGATGGATCATTCCAGTCCCAAGTTCCTAAATCCAGCTCCACTTCACCAAGGAAACTATTCCTCCCAAAGGTATCATTGTGCCAGACAGAGATATTGAGGCTTTGATTCTTTAGGAGCTCCTTCTCAATTTTATACTGCCAGGAAGAAATAAGAAAATAAGAAATTAAGTTGAATTTTTATCAGTGCTGTATCAGAAAGTGATATGGTTAGAAAAAAGTGTCTGGGTTTATATGTCCATAACTGCTCACTTCTGCATTTCAGAAAGCATACAAACCACAACAAAACACAACTATTTACTTTTTATTTCTATCACCTTAAGCTCATATGTGGCTCATGTTTGTTTACACATAAAAGCATAGAGCCACCAGTGTTCTCAATGCTGGATCCAGAGACCACTGCAGAGCTGACCTATCAATGGAAACACACGACCAGTTCTGCAAGGCAATCCCTCCCATGCTAATGTCCCTTTTGAGTGCAATCTAGACCTGTGCCCAAAAGCTGAGATTCCTCACACATCACACATACAGTATATTATGTCTAGTAATAGTTTGATAAATACCCGCAGTATTTCATTATAGACTGGATTAAAAGTTTTCTTTTTGACAGAAGTCTTCCGTTTGCCCAGTCTGTATTTCTCTGGAAGCAGGTAGGTCTTTACATACCTAAAATTGAGACAGGGTTGTTAGAAGAGTTAAGAAAATCCCAAAAACCTAAAAAATCCAGACCTTCTCCAGCTTCACCTTACAAAATACACAAGTATTTGCTTACAAAGTAAAAGAAATCCACTTGAGTAGACATTATGTTATTCAGCTTGTATTTTTAAGAATTAAAACAGCAGCGGTGATGTATGTCATAACTTTCTTATAATATCCTTCTCCAGGGGAAAATCTGGTGAAATATCTCCTCAGAACATGAAAATAAAGAATATATACCTGTAGCAGGCCCAAATGTCATATTTATAGGTGCTAATCCTACTGAAAATGTATCAAAGTGGAATTTACCATCTGAAAAGTGGCATTTAAAAAGATAATTTAATATTCTTTAAAGTGTTCATTTTCTATGTTAACATATATACACACCAATTTAGAAGTGTTGTTCGATATTGAATCAGAGTTAAAAAAAAACACCACAAAGCACATTATAGCCTCTTCACCTATTTCTTTGGTGGTTTACTCCCGGAGGTTAGAGAGACTGGAAAACCCCAGAAATTTTCATTTCCACATTAAAATAGACTTCCATTAGAAAATAAATGCATTCTTTGTACTTACGGGTCTGAACGTTGTCGTTTAACATCTGCTACTGCCAGCTCTTTGCACTGGCAAATAAAGATGTGGAGCTCATTCAGCTGTTCCACATAATCAATGGCAAACTGAATGTTCCCCTTCACATCAACATTGCCAAAGTCTGCACTATAGATGCTCATTAGGCTGCCGCTCACCTGCATCGTACAAGAGGAGAAATATTTTCCAGACATTGAATTTTGCCAGATATTTCAGGGCAGAAGTTGTGCTCAGGATTCAGACAGTAAAGAAATCAACTGCATCTCTTTAGATGTAACAATAAAATGTAATGGACACTGTTATACAAGCTTCTCAGCAAGCAGATTAATGAAGGAAAGATATTTGGAAATCAAAGGGGTTAGACCAGGATTCTTACCAAAAAAAAAATAAAAATGAATGGGTTTACTGCATTGAGATAGAAGAAATTAAATTATAGGATGCTGTAGATCTGAAGACTGACTGCTCAGATCCTTGACATATTACTTCTAAATCTTCTCAGCTGATCTTCTAGCAGAAAACAAGCCTAAGAGTTTAGGAAAACAGACTTTCTTGAAATACTAACAAGATTAATAAAGTCTATATGGCTGAATTATGTACCTAAATATGTAACTAAATAAAACACTGAAAATTAAATACTAAATACAGAGAAGAAGAAAGATGTGTGCATACATGTATGTATTTTATCCCAACATCCTTCCTCAGAATTCTGTTTTTCTTACTCTAAGTCCATATAAACCAATGACTTTTGGTTATCTAGTTGACTCAACTACACACCTGATATATCAATATCTCCTGCTTTCACTTATCTCTCTCCCCTTTCTCCCTTTCTAAATGTCTGTCCTATATGAATTGTTCCTCATTTTCAGCTACAAATGTAAGCTCTAAAGGTAAAATCCATGTCTTTGTTCAGAGCCCTGAACAAGCTCCAATATATTACAAGAAAAAAAAAAAATCTATTTAATTGTACTTTACTTGCTTCAGGCAATTCCATGCAAGGAATTATGTTATGTTCATATAACAGAAGTGGAAAGAAGGAGAAAGAGATGACAAAGGAAGAAAGATAAGGTGAATGAGATAAGAGCCAAAACAATATTGGAGAAATTAGCAAAAGCAAAGTGCCATTAAAATAATGCTTTGTTTTACATACAGAGGATAAGGAGGCCATGCCAGAAGAGCTGCTAAGATTGGTTAGAGAGCTGGGACTCTTCTTGATTCTGCCAAAGGAATAACTGCTTTCTGATGCTGTATCTGTCTCTCTGTCATCACTCTACAAAAACATCACAGAAAGAAAGTCTGTGTACGTTCTTTATAATCACAAGGAAAATTTAAAAAAAACCAAAACCAAACAAACAGAATTTTAATGCAGATTGAGACTCAGTGGAAGTCTGAATTTAATTTCCCTTGTAGTGCAACATGAATAATATTTCTTGAATTAGGTCATGCATTTAAAGTTGAGAGTTTTTCTGATGAACTGATAATTTTTTAAAGCAGCGATGCAACCAGATTTAGGGGTTTGTTTGTTTGTCTGTTTTAAATCTCAAGTAGCAATGAAAAATTACGAAGTTAAGTTTATTGGGACAATTAAACTCAACTTCTCTGTGTCACTGTCTCATGCATAACCTATGCAATTGATAATGCTCAGTCCTTTTACAGTCCTTTCTGTTATACAGTAAATGCTGTCAGTTCTCTGCCTCTCTCTTAAGGGCACCTGACCAGAAGGTAACATTCATAGAACAGCACTGGATACCATGAATGGTTTTTGCAAAGTCTTTCTTGCAAGAGGACAGGCAGGGCTTTGCTTTTCCATGAGGAAATTGCAGCTTTTGTTTCCTTGGTCATTATCAGGTTATGTACTCACAACCCCATTCCATCTCAATGCTATCTCTGCACTAAAGAATTGATCCCCTTCCTACATGTGCCTTCCTACACAAGCTGTTACAGACAACTTCATCTTCCTGTTGTATTCCACCCATGAACAATTTACAAGGTCTCCCCACTCCTTCAAACAGTTTTGAACTGGTGTCATAGATCTTCTAATAACAGATGCAAGATTAGTAAAATTTCTACACACATTAAGAAAATAGTTATTTATATAAATAAACATTTAGCATATAAAGACTTTTTCATTTTGCTTATAAAATCTGGTTATGTCTATTTTGTTGAGTAAAGGAAGACCAGGATTGTTCCTCTGTTTCAGAGGTCAATGATAAGGACTGAAAAATGTCCAGCCTATCTAGGGCAAAGCCTCTTGAGAGAAAATTGCTTTGGAGAGTGCTATTTGGGACTGCACAGAATAAATCCAGAGTGAAGTGACAGTTAAGCAGTGTGGATAATCAGTCCGGTTACATGGACTCTTTGAAAGACAGAAAAATTCTATGTCCTCCTCCTAGAGGAGAAGGATATATAGTAATTAGATAAGGGGGAACTGGCTTTAAACTAATAGGTTTAAATTTAAATTAGGAAGAAATTTTTCACTGTAAAGGTGGTCACAGCAGTCACAGGTTGCCCAGAGAAGCTGTGGCCGACCCCACCCCTGGAAGTGTTCAAGGCCAGGTTGGATGGGGCCCTGAGCAACCTGGTCTGGTGAAAGATGTTCCTTAGCAGGGGGGCTGGAACTGGATGATCTCTAAGGTCCCTTCCAAACCAAAAATTCTGTGATTCTTCTGAAAGAGAACCATAGATGTCATAGGCCTAACGGTTCAAATTGCTTATCACTTTCAAGCTTCAATGTCATTTTAGGAGATTTGAATATGGCCTCTGAGTTTGTTCCAAGGTTCACACCATGATGATGATAACAACAATAATCATGCATGGCATGTCATTGGGAGTTCTGAAACTTGCACAGAATTAGTGGTCAGGTACCTGAAACTATAACACTTCAGAGATGGTGCTTACCTCTTCTTGTAAGAATGATGGTACTGACTTGCTCAGTCCTTTGAGTTTTTCGGGGTTGGAGAAGAGTTTATCAGGCTGTGAAGTCACTGTGGAAACTGCAAAGCAGTAATTCAAAAGGCTTCAAAAACGTTTGTACATCAGAACAGTGAGATTCCATAACAGGATGCAGTTAGAAGCAAACCACTCTGGATGAAATGCATGCACATGCACAACCAGCTTGGATGTAAGAGGTTTTGTTTTTTTTCTCCCATAGGACTCAGAGAAGCTGTCATTAGGAAGAATAATCTACTTTGCCATTGCCTATAACAATGACCAACAAACTTCAACAGGACCAGAAATATTGCTTGATATGAGGCAGCCTGGGTGCTACAAGCAAATTCTGATCAAAAGTGATAAAGAAAACATTGAAATTACCTTCTATATTTTCTTCCTAGAACAATAAGTACACTTCTGCACTAACAATAACAACACTGACATTCAAATTATCATAATATTCTTAGTAAGAAGTCAGCATACAAGCCAAATTCTGGTCTAGTTACTCAGTCTATTTAACTGCAATAGGCAAATTTATGTAAATCAAGCAAATTCTAGACCTGACCACGGAAGTTGCAAGTATTCCTACTTAATTATAAGATCCATATCTTATTAATGATGCACTTTTTTGCACTCTGTCTCTTCCACAATTGCATACCTCTACTGCAGCTTACTTCTGTGGTCTTTCACTGTACAAAACCTAACTGTACAAGCTAGGCTTGCAAAAATAAAGTTTGCTTATGATCCTCAGAATTTTCCATGCTGTAGCCCCACTTATATTTAATACACAAAGATGAACTGCATACACATTGTGAGATGCATCAATATCATGTGACAGAAAATGATCAGCCAGCTACAGGAGCATGTATTTATTGCAGAAAATGAAACACTGCACACAATGGGATTGTCTGCAAGGTCAGTGAAACTTTTGCAAAGCTATTGATGTCAAAACTCAGCTAGTGCTCAACAGATCAGTTACTGTCAGTATGCAATTAGATGCAGTACTTAGAGCAAGTAGCTACTCCAGATGTGTAACTTGTTAGTTGTTAAATGAAAGAGTATTGTTAATTTACTAGTTCAGCTATCAGAGGAAAAGTCTCTCCAGTATCTGCTGGAAGAACCGTATTACTCACTTCCTGCTGCAGTTTCAGTCCTCTCTTGATGCTGATCAGGTTTCAGACCTGCTCAGTGCAGTATTAACAGTCATTCAGCAGTACTGTTTTGCAAGGTTATAAATAGCATCAATATACTTAATATGTGGGATTTTTCTGAGTTTTTTTGGTGGTTTTGGGTTTTTTTGGTTTTTTTTTTTTTTTTTTTTACTTCCCAGACCCCATGAACTTTGTGGGTTTTTTTTTCCTTCCAACAGTTAGTGGTGGTTTAAGTATGAGTTCTGTATGGGCATTAGATCTGTTTGATTTTGATGCATCATGGAGTCTGTTTATGCGAACATAAATTCAGAACTAGGGACGTGGCTCAGTGGTGAACTTGCCCATGCTGAGTTAATGGTTGGATTTGATGGTACAAAAGCTTTTCTCCAACCTAAACAATTCTATGATTCTGTTTCCATGTCTTGCGCTGCTGTTCTCCTTTGAGGAGCTGGATCATAACAAAATATGAGTGTAATAAAAGTGTACAGGCTAAAAAAATCAGTCCTTTCACTGCTCCAAAAGAACAGTCCTTTCAAAAAAACTTGCCTTATTCTGCCTGTACAGCTATCAGTTTGGCTGTGTGTCATTTTTTCATAACTTCAGTCTTAACAAATCAAATTCAAATTCGCCCTGCACTTTTCAGGTTAGCCTCTACACATTCACACTGAATGTCATACAGGCTTTCAGTAGAGGTCTCCACTTGAAAGCAGAGTGCAGGATGGTGCTTAATCTTGTTACTTTACTGGGTGCTGTAGGTATCCTAATATGCTATGACTATCCTACTGATACTATGGGCCACTGGCATGCACAAGGCTTTAAAGCATCTAAACCATGAAATAAAAAATACAATTGCACACAAGAGTTCTTTTAAAACTGCAGTGCTACAATACAGTAAATAAAGAACTGTGTGCTATGTTCCACCATATTCAATATTATTTGATGCTTTTCAATTCTGTTTATTTCGACATGTTCTTGTAGCAGGTTTGTTTTTTGTTTTTCTTAGATTTGGAATTTCTAAAAGTATATAGAAAAAATTAACTGTAAGGCATCTGTAATGCACTAATGGACTGATGATATCAGCAGTTGATCTAGAAGTTCATCTATTGCCTAGAATAATGCTACTTTATAGGACTAAGGCAGGGATATTTAGACAGGTTCCTTTCCAACTGCAGTATTCTGAAGGGTCTTTTGCACTAGCAAAAGTCATCTTGAATCTTACAATGCAACAGATAAACAGAAAAATTGAATATTTACTGAGGCCAATTTCTTTCAAAGGAGCTTGTGTTCAAAGCTCCCAATGATTTCAGTAACTCACAGGCTGAATGACTGAAGGCCAAAAGAACACACTGATAAATGGCACAGTTTCTACAGATACGGGAGGACATAAATAGATTCCTTAAGAATAAACACCACAACAGAATTCTACAAAAGCTTTCCAGCCATGCTGAAGTTAACCAAATCCAAAAACACAATATAATTATTGGTTTAGAAAAAAAATAAAACTTCACTAGCAAACCATTGAAGCCATTGAAAAAGCAACAAACTTCCATGCAGACACGAATTATATTTACCATCTTCATCACTAAGAACTAATTCTTCCTTTTGTTTATTTATTTTTTCTTTATCTGTGCAGGAAAAAAACAACACAGTTAGAAATTTTGTTATTTGGTATAAAATGGATGGCAGTGACAATCACAGAATTAAGAGTAATGAGGACCAAAACCACAGACAAACCAGCAGAACCATGGGAACAGTTAAATTCAAGAGAGGTTTTTACTTGACATTCTACCTCAAAGCCTACATCCAAGCAAGGGTCTCATGCTGACATAGTTTCTCTCAGTGTGTTGTTGTAACAATGTTAGTGCACACCTAAAACCTAAAAACTGGTTAGAAGAAAGCAGTAGCAGCATTAGAAGAACAACTTGCCAGTATCTTTAAAAAAATCCACATCTCCATGCTTCAGTTCACAAATAGAAGTTCAGTCTGTGTCTTCCCCATTAGACATGAGAAGCATGAAAACACTCAGGAGCAGGGTGAAATGAGACAGGAATAATAATTTAACGAAACCCAAGGAATCCAAGTAGTACTGAGGGAAGCTAGGAATTAATTTTAAGTATAATATTACTCTCACCATATTCTCTTAAAATGAGTTTGATACATTTACTGCTAGAATACACTGGTGAACCATTACTAAACTCACGTTTTCATGCTTTCATTGTCTACTTATTCAACCCAAGCCAGCAACCAGGAGACAATGACAGTAGCTGCTCATTACTGTTTTGGGTAATTGCCAATACTTCCACAATTGAAAAACTATCCAAGAAACAGTTAATCACTGATCAAGACAGTGCACTCCTGAAAGATGTCTGCTTCACAGACCAGCCTTGTTCCAAAATTAACACCAAGAACTGAAAATTAAACCATATGAGAAAATAATCTGGTTCCAAAGTACAAACTCCATACAGCTTACTGAGAAACAAAACCAAAGCCACAACTTGGCAAGGCTGTATGGAAGACCAGTATGAAGACATTTAAGCCAAACTGGGAGTCATGGGAGACACACACAAGCTTTGTGCTCACTTGAGGTAGCTGATGGAATGTCCTCTAGACTTTTGGAAGGCTTTTTCCTATCTGCACTCCTTTTCAAAGCCATCAAAACAGGGTTTAATTCTTCTTCAGAACCTGTTATGAGACAAAACACATGAACACTGCACACACAGACGTGCCACTTCAACCAAGTCAATGAAGAACCAGTCACAGGTTTCTCATGAGAATCTATTTTGACAATTAGCAAAGACAGCAAACATTCAGTGAAAATACAAGATGAATCAAAAAAAATAAACATCTAATTTTAAGTGTCCATTTGCTCTCTCTAAACACCCTCAGTCATCAGCAGAGATAGACAAGTCTGACAAGTGATTTGCCCTGTGTAGGTATAAGTCTGTGCTTACTGACTAATAATGGTGTTTGGGACAATTATTGCATTCAATTGGTTAAGATTAATATAGGATAAATTCAGATTGTAGCCATTTTGTAACCATTTTTTCATGAATCAGCACATAAGAATTTTTGTTTTTTCCCTTTGTGCAAATTTTTCTGTTATAACCTTTCCACAGAAAAAGTAATTTTGTTTCAATGCTTGAATAACCAAATAACCCAAACCAAACAACCAAAACCACAAAAAAACCAAACACCATTTCCCCACACACATGCAAAAAAAACCCCAAAACCCAAACAAACACAAAAAAAACTCCCCACAAAAAATGAGCTGTGGATGTATTTGGAACCCCGAAGTTATGCAATTGTCTCCAAAAGTAGAGACAGACTTAGCTCCTTCAGAAATCTTTAAGACTTTCTTTCCTCCCTATCTCTCTTTCCTTCCCCTCCACCAACAAATCAGTGTTGCTGCCTGTAATTATGGGTGAAACCACATTATGTTTCATTTTTCCTCACTTATCTTGAGTTTTCACCAACTTTCTTCAGAAACCTCTTTCAAAACAGGCTCAGATGTAAGTTGGCAGGCCCTGGGAACTTCATATATTTCTCAGATTCTTCTTCAGAAGAAGATATTCCCAGTTTCTCAGTATGAGACTAAAAAGGTTAAACTATCTCCTCCACCTTAAGCTCTTTGATGACTATCATACACTACACATTGACTAGAACTACCATTTAACCAAATAATGTGAATCCTAGTAAACTGACCTCTTCATTTATATGGCCATTTTTCAGCGCAACAGGCAGCAATGATAAATGAAACAGCACAGGGTATTGGTATTATCCTTACTTCTAGATATTCCACTGATAAGTATTTATCTATCTTCAGAGACTAGCCAGTCAAACTAAAGAATGAATCAAGTGAGCCACTGATAATTTTTTCCTCTTTTAATCCAGTATATTTGAAGGGATTACCAGATTGAGTGTTACAAATTTATTAATTTGAAGGCAATGTCACATGGGATAAGAAAAGTGTAAATCACAAAGACTGAATTGATTCATGCTGCTAAACTATCCTTACCAAAAAAGGCTTACCCAAGTGTAGTATGTGTCTGTTAAATCTTTCCAATCAAACAACTTAATTAGTTCTTCCCACCCCTCCCAAGAAAATATCCAAATCTCTCAATTAAGAAAGTATCACACAGACTTTCCACTAATATATTTCAAGCTGGATAAAAAAAAATAATTATTGTAGCTATGTTGAACTCAGCACCATGAATTTTAGAAATCAGGTAGCTCATGAGTTGAACTTCTATTCAGAGTTCCAGAGTGAGAATCAGAAAACTTGGATCCCAAATTTATGTTGCTGCCTTTCTCTTCATTGTTATCCTCATGCTGAGACATGAAGCAGAACTGAGATTCTTCTGGCTGGGGGTAGTTGATCTCACCTTTAAGTGCTGTAGTTGCTCTTCTGAAATTCATCAGTGCTTGAAATTCTGAATTCTGTTCAGAAGCCTCCAAGAACGTGCTTTCAATCATCCCTTTTTCATTTATCTCAAATGGTTTGATTGCGACCATATTTGTCTTGCCTTCCAAGGAACAAAGATCAAATGAAACCATGTTTCTCTCTCCTATTTTGTTAATAGCTCCATCTCTTTTAAGACCAGAAGCTTCAATTTCACTTACTGCAAGATCATTAACTGAGGCTTTGACGGTCTTTTCTGGAGCTCCCACTTTGAGAACTATCTTCATATGTGTATCATAGCTACTTAGGGCATTGTATGGCTGTGAGTTTGTCATGAATAGAGTCTCTTTCTCTGAGGGAAATGTACAATCCTCAACTTCTTGCTGATATAAGTCTCTGGATATTGGACATGAAACTGCAGATACTTCCTGAAGTTTTTCTAAAGAGCGACTGAATTCACCAAATTTTGCATTATTTGAAACAGAGGATTTTTCTACTGTTTCTTGTATTTCTTGAGAGTGATCTCTGTCTCGTTGATGTGGAACATATATACCTACACTAGTCTGTATTTTATCATGCATTTTCTTATCTATATTTTCCAGCACAGAAGCTGGTATTTCAGAAACCTCTTTTGGTTGATTCTGAAAATTAACATCAGACCCTGTATATTCAGCGTTGGACAGGGCAGATCTTTCTGTGGTCTTACCAATTCCCTGCAGCAGCTCTCCATCATGCTCATAGGCTGTGCTCATAGCTTTCACCTCAGCAGTCTCCTGTACTGTGCTCTCAGCACATTTGTGTTTAGGAGAGGGCGTTTCAGAGGCCTCCTTCAGCATCCTCTCTAAAGCAGAACTCAAGCTACTGGCCTTGGATGGGGCAACAGACTTTTCTATATTCTCACTGATTTCCTGAGCTACCTCTCCACCATGCTCATAGGTCATGCTTTTAGCTTCCACCTCCAGAGTTCTCTGTACTGTGCTGTCAGCATGTTTTGGCTTAGGAAGAGGTGTTTCAGAGGCCTCATTCAGCAGCTTCTCTAAAGCAGAACTCAAGCCACTCGCCTTGGATGGGGCAACAGACTTTTCTACAATCTCATGGATTTCCTGCAGCACCTCCCCATCACACTCATAAGTTGCGCTTTTAACTTGTGCCGCAGCAGTCCTTTGTACTGTGCTGTCAGCACGTTTGGGTTTAGGAGGTGGTGCTTCAGGGGCCTCTTTCAGCAGCCTCTCTAAAGCAGAACTCAAGCCACTGGCCTTGGATGGGGCTACAGACCTTTCTACAGTCTCACTGATTTCCTGCTGCACCTCTTCACCATGCTCATAAGTCATGCCTTTGTCTTGCACCACAGCAGTTCTCTGCACTGTGCTGTCAGCCCATTTGGGTTTAGGAGGGGGCGTTTCAGAGGCCTCCTTCAGCAGCCTCTCTAAAGCAGAACTCAAGCCACTGGCCTTGGATGGGGCAACAGACCTTTCTACAGTCTCACCGATTTCCTGTGGCACTTCTCCACCATGTTCACACATTGTCCTTTTAACTTGATACTCAGCAGTCCCCCATGCTGTGCTGTTGGCAAATTTGGGTTTAGAAGGGGGTGCTTCAGAGGCCTCCTCCAGCAGCTTCTGTAGAGCAGAACTCAAACCATTGACCTTGGATCCAGCTACAGACTTCTCTATGGTCTCATGGACCTCTTCAGGTGGACCAGTAGCTTCTTGGTGTGCTGATTCTACACTGCAGTTATTTTGTGATATACTATTTGACTCATCATATGTTTTCATTCCCACCCTTCTGTATTCAGAAGGTTGAGATACAAGGGTTTCTTTGAGAAGGTTCTCCAAACCAGCTTGAGGCCTTGGGGAGCCCTCAAGGGTATCATCCTTGTCTGCTGCCTGATATTGTAGATACAAAGGGTCAAATTCCCTAAACAGCTTTCTGAGACTTTTTCTGTTCTCATGCTTATGTGTTGATGACACATTCACTTGTCCTGTACTTTTGCCTATTTCTTCTCCTTGATCAACAGGAGAAATAACGTTTCTGTCTTGCCCTTTTCTCTCAAAGACCTTGCACTGATTTGACTGAAAATGCGTCCCTTTTAAAATGCTTTCTTTTAGGTTTAAGCTAAATGACATCTCCAAGGCTTCCTTTTCTAGCTTCTTTAGACATGATTTAAATATATCAAGCTCACCTTTGGGTAGAACAACTTTATCCACAGTCTCTGCAACTTCCTCTTTATCCAAAGGAGTAGTCTTGTTTTCCCCTTTTTCTATAGGTAAATGTAGTTTATCACCTACTACTTTCTCCTTTAAAGCATCTTTATCACCAGATGACTGGAGCTGCAAGGATACATGATTATCTTTCGATGAAACAATGCTTTTATCTGTGTATTCTCTAACTTCATGCTCTGGAAGACCCATCTTCTCCTGTGATTTTGAGATAACTGGCTGGCTGTCCAGCTGGAGAGAGTCTGTATTTTTTGTGTGTGTCACATTCAGACCTCTTAGGATAGGAGATCCTAGAGATTTTTTGCATACTACAGAATCTAGTTTCTGTGTTTTTTCTCTCTCAGGTGTTTGGGTTTGTTGTTTAATTAACTCTTGCTTGCTCACATTATCTCTGCCTTTTTTATCTTCCTTTGATTTTCTTTCATAGATTATTGATCTAGTATTATTTGGCAAAGAATCATCTTCCCTGTCAATGCTACTCTGGAATTTAGCTCCAGTATCCCAGAAGTTTCTCAGACTCTGGAAGTGTGAAGAATCTGAAATTTGATTCTTGGACTTCCCATTCATCTTTTCTTTTAAAGACAAAACCTGGAAGTTTGGCTTCTGTTGGGAAGAAGCAGGAACTTTTCCTTTAAGAGTCTCCTTCTCATCTTTGTCTTTGCTTTTTGGTGAAACTGAAGTGACACCAGCTCTGGGATGCAAGTTACTGGCTTTTGGGAGTTCTGTACATTCACAAACTTCATCAAACTGAAGTGTCCCTTCTGCCTTTCCAAATGCATGGCCTGGTCCAGATTCAAAAGAGTGCTGACTTTTGTTTCTTGACGCCTGGCTTGCACAACTTACTTCAGGACTTCTTAATGTGTTCTTGCACTGATCATGCAATGCCTTAGGTAGATACACTGCAGATTGTTTCAGTTTGTCACTTTCTCTGAGACCTGTCAATGCACAGTCACCTGATGCATCAGTATTGATACTAACTCCTTTCTCTCTGTGACTGGGTATAGTTTTATCCCTTTCCCAGAAAGCTCTGATCTCCCTTATTCTTCTTTTTTCTTGTATTGCCTTCTCTGATTCACATTTCTGAGCCAGTAGCTTGTGCCCTTGATGTTCCAAGAGATTTGATTTCTGATTTTGTTGTTTGATTTCTTGACCATGTTCTTTTTCTTCAACTCTTGTACAACCAAATTCAGTTAGCAATTTATCATTTTGCTTCTTATTTGCTTCCTCTGTCTTAGGCTTCACCCTCTCCTTTATCAGCTGTATGTTTTCTGAAGTAAAGGATGTAGATGAAATACTGCTCTGTTGTTTAATCTTTCCAAATGGTCTATCTTCTGTATCTTTTGTTGTTCCATGCATGCCAGGCCCACTGTGTTCTGTAGGAAGAACTGCTCTTCTGATTGACATGTCCACTTCCTCTCTGGGCTCCCTGCCTTCGGACTTCATTGATACAAGTTCCTCATCTTCAGTACTAGAACTTCTTCTAAACCAGTCTAAAACTTTTGATACAGAGTCATCGTCCACTTTCACAAGTTCATCAGCATGTTTTCCAGGCTTGAAAATGGTTTTAGCATCTCTTTCCTCAACAAGATCAGGCTTACCTTGTTGAAGACTTGTAGAATTGGTATTGGACATCTCACGTGCTTCTGTTTCAGCCAAGAGTTGATGTCTATCTACAATGTAAACAAATTTATCAGATTTATGAATCAGACACATGACTAAAGATGTTTGGTCTACCTAGAAAATTCTCAGAATTTTTTTAACTGTTAGTGGAGAAAAAGAGTTCTCTGTCCTTGTGATTTTTGAAAAAACTATACCATGGGCGAAAGTGAAGAAAATTCCTGTTCTGAGACATAGAATCATTACTTCTGAGGGTACAAGCCAAGAAGATGAGTTAAGCCCATTCCTAAAGGAAATGTCTTCATTGAAGGGAGGCACACAGAGGATGATAATCCAGCATTATTTGTGTTTAGTCCCATAAGCAAATCCCTAAGTCACATCTGAATTACTGCCAAGGACAACTGACAGCACTACACTAAAATAACATTCACAACAGAGGTGCCTATACTGGCTCTGATAAGACTACCAAGAGGAGATCATAGAAGTATTTTTAAAAATATGATTTTTTTAATTCTGCAGTAGCACATTACTGCAGTAGCACATTCCTACTACTTCTGTTTCCTAGTTGTTAATTGCTAGCTACAAGTGATCCACATTAATGTGTTATGTGAATGTGTTATATCCCATCTCATTCCATTCTTCACTTCTATTAGACTCTTACCTGCTTGGATCAGGATCTGGTTGGATTTTTTTTCATGTGTCTCATTAACACTCTGTTCATTATTGCTGTTTGACAGGATATTGCTGGAGGTCTTCTGTGGGGTTTCAAGTTTCTTGGGAGTAACTGTATTTGTCTGGAAGCTTTCACTAACTGGGAAGACTGATCTGTTACTGTCACGAGGGCTGGATGCAGATGTGTCTTCTTGTAAGCCATCTATTGTTTTCATTTGTAAAGCTGATAAATAGGTTCCCAAAGGCTTTGCAGCAGGAATTTGCCTATCACCAAGTGAATCTGATTGAACAGCATAATTTCCACTATTCTTTTTTTTGTCAGGTTTTAAGATATCATGGTCTCCTTTTTCTTTAACATGGCATAGCTGTGGGCTTTGCAGAGGTTTTCCTTTACCTGAGCTGGATGAAAACCTCACTTGTTTCAGTTTTTCCAGTGAGTTTTGTGTGGAATCTTCTGCTTCTTCCACAACAGAGTTCTTCTCACCTTCCCCTTCAAAAATAGTTGTGGTAGAAAGATCATTCTTTTTCTGGACATCTAACATTTGACTGACCCGAACTTCTGAGTCAGTGGAACTTGAGCTTGAGCTGCGTTTCAGAATGCCCCTGGGCGGGCTACCAATGCCATTAATCCTCTCGGTCTGCTTGGTTGGTTTGGGGGCAAGGCCTTCTCTTTGTGATACAGAATCTGCTGCTTTGTGAATTAGTTTCCTAGCTTTTGGGACAGGACGATTAACTAGTTCCTTCTGTGATGGATCAGTAAGTTCTACAAAAGGCTTCTCAGGTTTATCTGATTCATCATTTTGTAAGTTTGATTTAGGTGGGCTGTCTTCTGAGACTGACCAAATTTCTGGAAGACATAGAAGAGCTCATCAGTTTACGTGACATTTGCCAGTAGAAACGGAGAGATGTGACAGTGCAGATCTAAAATGCAGTGATTATACTGGTTTATTAAAAACAACTGCAGCAAAAACACATCCAGTAATTTTACATAGGTGTTGATTTCATTTTTATGTAACTGAAATTTTTAGGAAATTAAAAGCTTGCTGTTATTTCTCATTTTAGAAACATTAACTATTTGATGATAGCAAAGAGAGCACTCCAAGTTTTTTATCAACATTTTTCCTGCAAGGGATAATGTTTGCAGGGAAGGGCAGCTTTTGAATACACATACACCTCTTTAGTGTCAGAACAAACAGCAACCTACAAAAATGGAAACTGGCTATTTCCACAGTCATATGGAATAAGGCAAATGCAGAAATAATCTCCTGGCAGGGACATGAAGGGTTTTATGTTCCTACTATGCAAATCTTTCCTTTTCCTGTTAGCATGCTTCACAACAGAGACAGGAGAGTAATAGCTACATATGACTCTAAATTACAACTTCAAATGCCTGTATTGTGATATGCAATCACTCATCAACTTGCTTGCAAAAAATACTGCTGGAAAGGGAGGCTAATAAACAGGACTAAGGAAACAAAGGAAAAAAGTATAGACCAAAGAGAGCTAGGCTGCTTCTGTCTTGCTAATTAGCAGCAATGATTGGAAGCTCATAAAGACAGCTATGTCAAATTCAAGGAAATTTCACTGTCCTTCTGTTAGAACTTCAGGACAAGCAGCCATCTCAGAAGTAGTGCTTAGTACTGACTAGAACTATGTGCAAAAGAAAGGAAGCAAAATTCGTTTACTCATGTCTACAGCCATTTCCCAAGTATATTCACATGCTTTAGATGAGGTTTGAAATAAGCTAGTTAACAACTCACAGTACTTAAGACAAAAAGGGTTTTGATCTCTTTCAGAAAGAAGCAATGAAAGTAAAAATAATTTCCCTATAAACCTACAGGAAATTCACAGTTATCTGCTAAACAAGTATATTTACCCTTCTTTGATAGCTGAGGTACAATGGCTGGTCTGTCTTCTGATTCCCCATTGTTCAAGTTATCATCTGATGTAGTGGAATTAAATGGATTTCTCCTTTGCTAAAATAGGAACAAACATTACTGTTGCAGTCAAATTCTTACATGACAAACAGACACAAGTGCAGTAATTTCCTCTTCCCCACTATCTATCAGAAAAGAGTCTGAAGGCATACCTCTTGAATTGGATACATGACAAAAAACCTAAACAATACGAACAGGAAACTATCAGAAGTGCCAGTGATAACCTCATCTTGTTCTTTTGAACTCACCAAAACAGAGATAAGCCACCACTTAAAGACACTTGAAAACTCCCAAGTCCTTGCAAGTTCAATAAAATTATCTCTAATTCTGTGATATTAGAATCGAGCAGGCCAATCACTTTCAGTAGTTGAACAGACTGGAAAGCATGCCAAGAAAGAACAGCCACCAATTATAGGTGTAGCAGCACTTTAGTGCTAAACCTGTAGTGGCTTTCATTACCTCTGTCCAAAACAAAAAAAAAAAAAAGCTCATTTTTTTACAAATTATTATCGTTCCTCCTCAAAGTTTTATTTATGTTTACCAATGAAAAATAATTTCCACTATATTCAGTATCAGTCATACCCTTACTGATGAGACTGCTGCCTTCACAGGTCTTTCTTCTGGTTTGTTTAACACAGGGCTTGCTTCTTTAGAACTGCAAAGAAAAATTATATAACAACTTCAGTAAACAGGACATTAAAGCCTTTTTGAAAAAACAGAACAAAGATCCATTTATACATACTAAAACATAAACACTTTGTCCCTGAGGTTTTCTATTTAGCCTGCTCTCATCACATTTAGAAGAAAAGCTTCTCATTCCTATAGCAAGGGGGATACTCTTGCTGCTTTCTTTCCTTGTAAAGATGTACTTACTTGTTAAATAATTCAATACAACTTCTACTTGGCATGACAGAAACCACATTTTTGATACATCTTAGATGTCTGAGCAAGCTTTATAAAAAATAAGTGTAAATACATATTTTATATTTACTATAAATATACTAAATATAGCTACTCTCCAAACAATATCAGTGTTGCCAACTCCATCCTTGTCCTACATTTGTACTTCTAGGACTAAAATCAAAGTGGAGGAAAGTGTCAAAATCTGATTAAAAAAACAGAGCTTTGCAAAGTGTCTGAGTCAGAAAAAACAGAGAAACACCATCACCACTATAGTAAAGATACCATACCATAGATGACAACACATCCCCCCAGAGGTACAATTTATAAGCTATTCTTTCAATTGAGATGTATACATTTTCTTGATTGATAGCATAAGTGAAGTAAGTTATTACTTGTGATAATATAAATATAGCCCAGATATGGAGAAATTAAAATAGCTAGAAGAGACAGCGCCTATATCATCTCAAGAAATACTTCATCTACTTGCTGAATGATGCAAGGGTTTTTGTTTCCAATCAGATTTTTACTGTTTGAGTTTACCTAAACATCTCAGATATGAAAAAGTATTCGGTTTTTGAAGATGGAAGTTAGACATGGATTTCAATATTGTCTTCACATAACAACCATATTCAGTATCCTAATTTTATATGGAAAACACTGACATTAACCAAGATACACACTTAGGATTTTGAGGTGGAGGAACAGTATGAAGCAGAAAAAATTTTATATCTCAGGCTAGGAAGGAAAGCAACTCCTATGGTTTTTCCAATATAGATGTGCAAAGAGATGCCAAAACTGAATATTTATTTGCTCCATGATCTTTGTTTTGTGTGAAAAGTCTCAAGGGTGGTAAGTAGGAGAGCCACAAGGTGTCTCAGGACAGAAACAGCATCCACCTTTCATCAAGTTCCAGATTCACCTCCTTTCATTGACAAATATCTCTCCAGTCTGGTAATTGGTACCAGTCTGCCCCCCTGAGGGAAGGATAATTTTCCCATCTTCTCCAGGTTGCACAGTTAAGCTCAAAGTTCAGGGGAGAAAAAAACCCTAAAACACTGTGATAATTATCCTTGAAAGTCTATAATCTGGACTGGTGTGTCTGAGCAGTGACATCACTTATATTTTGCAAAAGGTAAAACATAATTATGGAGAAGATAAAATGACCACAGTGAGCAGTGTGAACATAAGACCAAAAAAATACCAGTTGCAATCTGAACTATAAACTTCTATATCCCTTCTTTGCTCTTGATTCAACACCACCTTAAAGAAATATACCACCATGAATAGCGAGAGAGGGTTAAGGTATGAGCAGATCTTGTACTGGAATCTATCTCAAGGGTGAAAAATTAAAGAGGTAAATGTTGAAACTTCTAGTTTCTTTTCCAAAATATCCTTTCACATTATGGTTTTTAACCTTAGTTCTAATATATTTTTTAAGTGTGAAAATAGACATACATACTAAAGAAACTACAGAAAATGGAGTTTGTATTCTTGCTTTTATAAAGCATTTGTGTTTTCATTTTTGAGAGCACTACACCTGTATGCTCCTGCATTTTGTGTCTTCTCTGCACCATCTACTACTGAACAAAACAATCATGATTTTTGTTTTTAAGGTTTAGGTCCCAAATATTTCAACCCCTCACTCCTTTTAAGCAAGGAAAATACTGTTAAGCACCCTGGGCTGCAAGAAATTGTTAAGACATCTTCAATGCAGCTTCTACAGGTGGAGAGGTAACTTTGTGTGTGTGTTCAGTGAAACATAATCTCACAATCTTTAATGCAATGCTTCTTTGTACTTACCATAGAATAATTGAAGATTATTAACTTGGCATTACATACTGCAAACCCTGGCTTAAATATAGCAAAACAGAGAAAAAACAACAGCCAGGATCCTATAACTAAGTTTTACAACAAAGGGTCTGAAAATGAGTTTACCTACAACCCATATAGATAAGAAAACTGAACAAACAGTTCCCAGATAAGCTGCATTCACAAGGTTAATCTAAAAGTGTATAAGGCCAAATTGATAGATTAAAAAAGATTTAAAAAATTCTACACTTCAGCTTGGAAAAATGATGTGCCAAGAACCACAAGGAAGGCCCAAGTCCCATACAGACTGAGGCAACAAGGCAAAGAGGAAGGAGCAAAGCTAGAGAAAGGGGTTACAGATTTGCAGACCTTGTCAATACATGGATTTTAAAAGACAGGGATATTTTGTGCAGGTTTTCCACTTGCTGAACTTCAGGACCACCTGCTCAATGTTGATCAAGAATACTTTCTAGCTTAGGGAAGAAAACAGCCTACAAATTTTAATTTTAAAGATCTCCTTTTTTTGAGATTCAGCATATAGACAGATGACATCACTGGAGAGAGGTAATATTGACAGTGTGACTCACCCTGGAAAACTCATTCTGTTCAAGGTTACACCTTCAAAGACACTTCATACACCTGGCCTGTAAAGGCTCTGGTATGCAAGAAAATTATCACAATGATATAACACTCAAAGAAATAATTCATAGCTTCATTATGGAATTTAGATATTTGGGGTGTGGAGATAAAGGTCACCACTAATTTTAAGAATATTGTTGCTCCACCTAATATAGCAGCACCCTGATTCAACAGTAGTTGAACTGGCCCCAGGATTGGATTTTATCCTTATCAGTTTACAAACAGATCTACCAGAACTGAACTTTCTTTACACTCAGTAAGAATTGTTTTATTTTAAGAACAGGATCCAGAACAAAAGTACTCTGAGTAATTTGTTGTCGCATAGCTTCAGGAACCAATCCTCAAGTTAGCAGCTCTGTAGTTTATGCAAAGCCTGTCAGTGCTGGTCTGAGGCACACTCTTAGAGAAAGAAGGGGAATGGAAAAAAAAACAAACAGAAAAACCCCATAAACCCCACAACCTTATTCTAAAAGCAGTCCTTTAAAATGCTTCAGAAGTCCAAGTGCTTGAACAGCATGTAGCATTTGGACATTGTAAACTGTGAACTGCCTTTAATGCAATCCCAAGTTCTAGAATGATACTCTGTTTCATCCTCTTAGCTGTGTTAAGACTGTTGCATTTTAAGAGGAAGATCCCATTAATTCCTTGTGCTCCATTATCTTAGTAGCCAAATCAAATATTTGTAGACTCTCCCTTCCCACCCCAACTACTGGGGTTATTGCTTTTGCACCATTGTTTCCTTCTGCCACTAGAGACAAGCCCACAGTTATGCAAGGTCAGTCTCTTTCAAATTCCAGGGAACAATCAAGGGAACAGAAAGAAAGAGTATTTTAAAAAGCATATGGTGCATCCTGCAATTTCTCACATGCAATATTGTGTAGACTAACCCTAGTTATAGTGAATTAAGCCCACACTGAATTCATGAGTATCACAGTCCTACCACATTTGCTTGCCATAGGTTTTGAAATTTTAGAAACAAATTATCTGAGGCATCTAATCAAGTCATTTATGCAAAATCAATGTAAGTAAGCATCCAGCCCACATATCACTTCCCAAGGTCCATTTCCAACAGTCTCATAGATCACTGGAGTGTATAAGCTTGCTTTAGAGAGAAGATCATGAGCTATTGAGGAAAGTACAAGTACACATGAACAAGCCTTGGAGGCTGATTAACTTCTGGTACAATTTGGAGCAAAAGGCAGGAGAGAGTCCTGGAAAATAATTATCAAGCTTTACATGGCTGTGATCTGAAATAAGTCATCAAATCACTTCAAGCTGAAGACCACTATCAAGTTGGTCTCATTTTAAAAAAGACTGTCTACATATTCTTAAACCTTACTATGTTACATATTTTTGAAGAGGTTGCTCTGGCATATTATGAAATCTATTATTCCTTACCAATCACACACAGTTTGTGTAGAGTTGTAATTAAAAGAATAGCATAATAAGGCTGTATTTTTCTAAAAGTATCATCATCTTTTCCTGGTGTGCAAGATGATATGTAAAATATTCTAAAAGATTTATTAAACAGCAGCATGTCCTCTGGTGTTCTTAAAGAAATAACTTCACAGCAAACCCCTGAATGTAAAAGCCACCTGTAAAAAAAACTACATTTAGTAACAACTAACTCTGTCAGCACATCAGTTAACATCAGTTGGGAGGGGAAACAGAGCTCTGTCTTGTGATAAGCAATCTTTGTCATCCTTTTTGGACAAATTTTGACTTAATTTTTGGCGAGTCTATAGCAAAGCAGTTTATTTGACCTTTTTCAGCACAATTTCAGATGTCAAAACAAACACCTCTGAGTTCACTGAGTGATAAGATAAATATAACAAAGACCAATAACACAAGCCAGAGTTGTTAGGACTCACACCAACCTTTGCTGCCATTCACCATGAATGTGTGTGCCCAGACTGCAGACCATGAAAGTGAAAGGTTCAAATGCTACTAGGTATTGTATAAATGCATAGTAGGAGAAGCCTTACTGCAAAGAAAAAACAGATGATGTACAGAGAAGAACTTAGAAGACAGACAAGAAAGTGACAGGTTACAGGGCTGATCAATGGCACAACCAGAAGTAAAACAGTTCCCCTAAGAAGTAACTTCTCTTACCTCACTCTATTCACCATAAGTACGAACAGTAGCTATCTGGGTTATACCCTGGTTCTTGTTTCCTCAGTGTGTTGTGGAATCTGGCCATTTTAAGATATTTCACTTTCACCTGCTCTGACTCCAGTGTTTCAGCACTTTCCTTCTCAAACATAGGCTTTTTAAAAGTTTTTAACACAGCCAATGAATTACATGGAGGTATTTTAAAGAGAAGACATCTCTGTTTCAGAAATTAATTCAGGATATTTCAAAGCAAAATAAAACTGTTTGGGATGCTTACAGATTTGAGATAAAGTGATTTTATACAAAATCCATTTTAGTTCAGAAACTACTTATCATCCAGTCCTCCTGACAACTGTAGTAATTCAGGCATACCAAGGATGACTGTCTTATGTTACTCTGAAGGGAAGCTTCTCCATTCCAGAAAGACGTTTACTTTTCTTGGTAGAATCTGACTAATTTTCAGCAGCTATCTAAAGATTCTTGGTCTTTTTAAAAGGTCTCAGAAGCCTTAAACTATATGCCAAATAATTTGGAAAATTCTAAACAGCAATTTTTTAGTCTCCAATTCTTCATGTGATATGAAGTGTTCAGAACATGTGGATGTGGCACTTGGGAATATGGTTTAGTGCAGGCCTTGGCAGTGCTGGGTAAATGGTTGGACTTGATGATTTTACAGATTTTTCTAACCTCAATAATGTTGTAATCCAAGTTTGAAATTCAGGCTTAATTGATAGAATGGTTTCAGTAAACAACTGAACGAAGAGATACAGAGGTTGTGACCCCCCGATTACTGACTGGAGGGGACTGATCATGGCCAGCCATTCTAACTAGAAAATCCAGGTCTCACTTCAAGGAACCAAAATAAATTGTGACATGAGAACATGTGTGGGACCATTCTATGCTTGACTGTCAGCTTTTTCTGAGAAAGGCAAGCTGAAGATTGTTAATTGTTCTATATTCACATGCAGAACAATACATGATTATGTGTCTGTCACATGCACAGATTTTTTGTATAATTCTGTGGGAAAATTTGGTGACCTTTGAAATAAGACCTAAGTGCAGTATTTTGGGTGGAACTTCCAGCTCCCAAGTTTCACTAGTCTATAGATATACATTCTAAGCATGATAAACAGACAGCTTACCTCAAACTAGCTTTCTGTTGCTCTTCTTCTTGATGTTCCACAATGCCATGTAGATCTGGTGGCACGAAGCCTTCTTTATTAACATTGTTCACCCAGCTGATCTTTGCTTTGCTTGTTTTGTTCTGACCCACTTCAGCTAAAACATGAAGCAACAATATTGTTGTTTCCCACATGTTAATACAAGATTTCTTAAGAAAGAAGTACAAGTAGCAAGTTGCATTTAGGCCTACAGCTATTTCTAAAGGCCACTATACTTGAAATGTTTTTAGAAGCAGATCTGGTGCCTTCTAAAGAACACCTTTTTAATGCTACTAAACATGTAAAATACTGTTCTGGATACTTCATTCTACTACACCAGATATACATGGTTTAAACCTTAAAGTGATCTTATATGGAGGAGCTTTATACAAGAACCCTGGTAAAGACTAATCCTGCAGTTTGTGCAGTTAGACAAAGGAAAGTTCATCCTCAGTGTCTTGAGGAAGCAAAAATGATTAAGCCATAGGAAACTCAAAATATGTTGAATTCCAGTCAATTATTCCCTTCCTAAGCAGTACACTAGAAGTTGGTCATAACTCACTTAGACAGGTGGCTAATCCTTTATGGACAGAATAACCACAAGATGTTAAAGAGGTAATATAAAAAACCCAAACAAACAAAAAGCCCCACCTAACTGAGCAAATGCAAATACATTTGCATTTCTTTTTAGGGTGGGACAAAATCCTATTCTGATAATCTCTTTCAGAGCAAAAACATTCCATTATTTCCTCTAATGCCTTTTCCACTTCACTAACAGTTTTGAAGTAAAGAATTTCTTAGTGTGCAAAAAGAAGCAGGATTTTTATTCGCACTTTTGCTATCTATAACTGCAGGGAAAAATATCTTGCCATCTCATGAGTCATTGAAACCAAACAATTGTACATAGTTCTGAATGTACCAACATGTCTCTTTGTTTAAGTAACAAGATTGGGATTAATTAACTTTGCTTTAAAATGGCATGGCTTTTAGTACTTTCCTTTAAGATACAAATTACTGTGAAATTTAGCTAGAATTTTACAGCTGATTTTCATAACCTTTAAGCACAAAACCAGCCAAAATGACAAACACACCACACTAACCACCTATGATTTTATTTTTTTTTTCTGCATTCTTTTCTGTTTCAGGCCTTTTTAACTTAAAAACTCAAAGCAGTAACCTCAAACTGACTAAACTGACATTATTCAAAATCATCTCTGAAAATATAGAAATTGAGAAGGTGCAATATTACAGGGTTAGACAGGGTTTGTAACTGGTGGTTACAAAACCCATAGGAAACAACACACTAGTCCAGTCACAGTATGGAAGGACGTACCTTACTTGCTTCACTAGCACAAAGCAAAATCCCTTGATAGAACTAAAAAAGCTAAATAGTACAAACATCAGTACAGTCTGATAAGAATAATATAAGTCTTGCTCTTCTAAATCAAAAGGACTTAGTACAACTTGAGGAGGTTAAAAGGGGATGTAGGTCAGTTTTGCTAAGAAATAAATCACTTTCTATAGGAAGAATGATAAAATAGACCAGGACATTCCAGATTAAAAGTCAGATGTTGACAGATTTATAATGGCGGTCTACAAAATCCTGGATATTATATAATACGCTGTTGTGAATACAGATTGACTGCTCACTCCCTCCGTCTGAGGGATAAAGTTAATGTTGACCAGGGCACCCACCACAGCACGGAGATTCTGGGTGCACTTAAAGCTCACCTGGACACAGGATGCCAGCTGAAGCTGCCAGAGCTTTCAGCACATATATTTCAGTCAGTTCTAACCACTATCTCTAGCTTGTGATGCCTGCCATTAAGCCTCAAAGGTCTCAAACCAAGCCCTGAAATCTTGGAAATCCACGTTAAAGAGCAATTTCCTCAATCTCGGATTCTTTGCATGTTCCTAAGTATCTCACAGGGACATAGAAATGGAAATGAGAATGAGTCCAGGAGTGCAGAAAGCTTTTAATCCTACACAAACACAAACCAGTCCCTTCTGTTAGCAGTCACCACTCTTTAATATAGAGCACTGTGAGAGAGGAAAGCTTACAGTGTAAATTACACTAGAAGTCTCTTTTTTGCATCACTTTCCACTTGTAGAGACACCAGTATTCTTAAATTTCACGGACAACATTGTCTGAGGTTAGCAAAGTAAGAGCCAGCCTTTCCAAAATAAAGTACAAATCAAATGCTTACCGATGGTGGCAGGTTTCCTGCGCATGGAAGCTCTGATAATGTCTGCTCCATGGATCTTATCCCTGTGCCTCTTTGACTTGGCCTCATAAAACCACTGCCCACTCATATTCTTTAGCTGAACATGGTCTTTGACTTTTTCTGGTAAATGCCTGAGGAAGAGAAAAGTTAATAAATGAGATATAAACATACTTCACATACCTACCTATATGAACAGAAAAAAAGAATCAAGACTTTTTTGGTTGCTTGTTTTTTCTTTTGGGGAGCAGGGGGATGGATTTTTTTGGTTGACTTTTTTTTAACACTGTCTCCACATGCTATTTCCACCTTCTCACCTGTTACATTGCTTATTTAGTTATGATGAGCTGGAAAGGGAAGAGCCTCAGCCTTATTACTTCAACCTATGCTCTCAGGGTAACTAAAAAAAAAATTACCAGCTTTGCTATGATAAACATTCAAGGACTAGAGAAGTCTCCAGTAACTGCAGATCTTGACTTCCTGCCTTCAAAGGCCAGTTTTCCAAGATTAAATCTGTGATAAGCTAGTAGAACAGCATAAAAAGTCTCTATTTTGGGGCTCAGAGATGCTTCTTCAGAGTTTCTTTTGGCACTGCTTTTACACGCACATTCCCAAATGTGTACTGGAAGCATGGTGCCATTTTTTCCATAAATTACACAAAAATCCTTATATGAATAGAATGAGTTACAAAGACAAACATAATCACATGGAAGAAACAAAAAAAATAAGTTTGTGCCATTTATTTTATTAATCTGCATGTATTCATCATGTGAACTGCAGCCATTTTAAAAACTGGGAGACAAATTTTTAAGAATTTGTTTTCCAGCTTCAGGGTTTTCCTGCTTTTGTGAGGTGTGCTTTAACAAAATAAATAATTGCTGTGGGCAATTTCAGAGGTTGTTTTTTTTTTTCCATGTTAGGCATGTAACAGGCATATGCTTACATATGGCCTGGAGACTAACCTGCAGAGCAGGAAAGTTACCACACAGATTTAGAGAGCACTTAAACAAATAAAAAAAGTCAAGTCACGCTTCATCTTCCTTCTCATTTATGTCCTTTCCTTCAGCAAAACAAGCTAATAACAGAGCCCAAGGGAGAAATTAAGTAAGATCCACTCAGTGAGACTTGAAGGCTAAGCATAATCCACATTGCTATGGAATGCTGCTGTCTTTTACAGGCCTGATGGACAATCATGAATGGGTTGGGTTGGGAGGGACCTTTAAAGATCTAAACATCTACCCCAACCCTAAGGAAGTTCACCAGAGTATGACATTTCTCATGGGTTTAAGGGACAGATCTTCTGGTACAATCAATTAACTCTGATGACAGGCATTTTATTACAGGCTGCAGATTTGACTGTCACAATAGTCATTGACATCAACAGACATTGATAGTCATTGACAGCAGAGGAAGGACACTGGGTCAGCTCCAACCCTCACACAAAGACAGACCATTCTCATCTGCCAATCGACTTCTCTTCATCTTTGTACAGCCAGATAAGAAAAAAGCCTTAATTGAACGCATCAGCTATATTAGAATTTCAGTACTTAAAACTTCATTTTGAAAGTACTGTCAAAAATCAGTCCCTCCTAGGGGTGCCTCAAATCTACTACATGCAGTTTATGCTGCCAGATGTTGAGGTCACCACTGGCATTTTCAATTCCAAGATTCAACAGTGCCTAGTATTACATGGTCATTTAAAATTTCTCCCTCCCTATGTGCTTCTCTAAGGGCCAAAATATGTACCTTTCCTAAGCAGGTGTTCTAAGTTGAAGCAGGAACATAGCAGTAGCTTCCCTTTGTTCTCCAGCAAATATATTATTCAGTTTATAAATGCAGCCAGCAGGAAGAATGGAAATGTAGAACACAAATTTTTTACACAGGTGACTGCTTCTCCCTTTCACCTTCTTTCACACGTGTTATTTGTCTTCTCAGAAGTGATGCCCCTTAGGGCTAGGGACTGCCTTTTCAGCTGTTTGTACAGCCTGCAGGGCAGCAGAGCTCTGACCGCAGCAAGTGCTCTGGGACAGTATGACAACATATGCCAAGGGAGGTTCTCTAGCAGGTGGTACTGAGTCACAGGACAAGTATTCAATGTCCTCACCCTGTTTGATTCAATCCTTTAACCCCAGACACTGCTCACCCCTCTCCCCTTGGTATTCAGGCACTGAAACTGGGGTGTGGTTGGAAACCTTTACAAGTCAGCTCAGAGCAGAGGAAGCTCAGCTGAGCTGTGGAAGGGGACGGAATCCCAGACCCCTCAGCTGTTCCAGCCTGCTTACCTGCCTGCAGGACTCTCAGACCAGTTAACATAACCAGACAGAGACAGAGATGGGGATTTGCCATAGCTCTAGACTCAATAAATGTCACCTGGCCAATGCAGCTCTCATTTTGTTTGGGAGTGTAAGTCAAGCATTCTGCTCCTACGTCTGCTTGCTGCCTATGGGAGTTAATGTACCTTAACTCCACCAGCTCAACAGGCTTTCTAGACTTTGAGAACTAAAAATGAATTATGCTTGCTAACAAAGGTATAAATGTGCTCTCAATTTACATAGAAGTTCCTTTACAAATGACCTCCTGCCTGATATGGTTTGTATTGTGAGAACTGACGGATGCTCACAGCACCTGATTTGCAACAGACTTTTACTATCTCACCTCAGAGTAAGCTTGGCTTACTCACCTTTTCAAGAGAGGTGTTTAGCCTGTCAGTCCCATTTTTTTTGAGGAAATCAGAACAACCTAAGTATTAAAGCTATTTCCAGGCATTTTCCAGCCACAAAACAAGAAACAGATTTTTTTCTTTAATTTTCCATTATCAGAAAGACAATTAGTTCTAGGTTTTGACAACAAAGAAGTTTTTAAGCCTCCTGCGTTCACCAATACATCATAGACTCATAATGCCTGTGGCCATTTTTGCAACAAATGAGAAGTTTTACAAAAGATTTACAAATCTTGAATTCTCAAGATTTACTAGGAGGAGGTCTTAGCAGTAGCATCAAACTGCTTGTACCATGTTGGCCTGTTTGACTGCTCGGAATTAGACACAGACTGTGGTTTACCTTGAAAGGAACTGTGGAGAATCAGACTGCAGCCATGGTTTCCCACAGCTATGTCAGCCTCCCAGCAAACCATAACAGGACTAGAAGCCAGCAACAGATTCTGTGCCATCTCCCCAACTAACAAAGAGGCTGACGAAGTTGCCTTCAAATGTTTCTCCTGGTGATCAAAGAGCTAGTAAACATCCAGATCAAGAATCAGATTGCAGGCTCAGTTGCCAATTTGCAATTAGGAGAAAATGCAGCAAGAGCTTTATGTATGATACAAGTACATATTTTGGAGTCCCTCTGTGCTCTGTTAAAATGCCAGTAAGCTTATACTGCAGTTTTTCAAGGAGGAACAGGCTAAAGCTATAATGAAGCTAGCGCCCATTTCTCCTACAGGAACTTTAAACTCAAGAAAGTAAGGGTACATAGTTAAAAGGAAATTTAAAAGAGAATTTTGGACTGAATAACATGGAGCTCCCATTATTTAATATGATGTTTCCACTATGCCAAGGTGAAATGTTTTATGGCAAGATGGAAAATTTGTCTTCTCCCCTAGGGCAGTAAGTACATGCAGATTGCACTGAACAGAATACAAACCAACTGTCCACCACTCTGCAGGCAAACAGAAAATCTATGCATGGATTAATTGGGTTGCTCCTCTCCATGTCTGGAACATCTGATAATAGGCCACATCATATGGTATCACTGTAAGGCAGGAAATCTGCTCTGATACAATCAGTCCCTGCCAGCCTTCTTATCAACAAATCCAGAATGGTTTACCCTATGCTTTGTAGGCTACTGTAACAGGTCATTGCATGAGCAAAGAGGTAACAACTCATCCCTGTTTCTGAAAAAAAGAGTATCTAGCAATACATACCTGTATCTAAAACTTGATCTACACCTCCTCAGTTGCCTCAATTCCCTCTTCTGCACCTGCCTTATTCATAGCCGACATTACAAATCACTACAGAATTTGCAAGATGTGACTACTGACACCTTAATACATTATTTGATTATGCCTTATACCCCAGTTGACAGCTTCAGCTGAGCTTTTCAGACAGGACAATCTGTGTGGTGCCAGCATACTCTGGGACTCCTCATGATGAATGAAGGAGTATTTAGATCAAGGTCTGTGTTTGCCTCAAAGACAGACATTACTGTCCCACACACCCTAATCTGAACATATGGAAAAAGCACCCTAGAATACAATAGCAAAATAAAGCCTTTAAAAATCCTGATATTACCGCACCTTATCTACAAATTAACTTCCAAAACCTCCCTTCTGCAAATGGAATACCAAGTAAGTGGAGAATTTGAAAGGAAAGAGAATTTTGATGAATTTTATCAACATAACAACAAATCACAAACTAACAAAAAGACAAATGATTTAGGTTCTGGGTCACTTTCTGAACACAGAGAAGACAAACTTTTTGTGGTATCACTTCTGCAAGAACAGGAGTAAAATTATATTAGACTAGGCATTATGAGCCAGACTTGTGGATTAAGTTCCTTTTTCTTCTTTGAGAGTAGGAAACAAATACAAAAAATTTACAGGACAAAGCAGTAATTGTTTAAACACTGCACATTGTATGAGCGTGCCTCTTTAGTCTGCAAATATCTGTATGAGGTATAGGAAGAAAGTCTGTTCAGACATTTGTTTGAGAGCCACACCCAAAATATTTGCAGTGGGCAATCAAAATTGCAAGTAAGCTATCTTTTGCATGGCAGCTACACACGATTTTATAAAAACCCTAAAAAGCCCATCAGTTACTATTTAATTGGTTTAAAGAACAGAGTAATATAATTTCAAACTGTTTGAGGGCTAAATTAGAAAAAAAAGCAGACCTATGGAATTATGCAACCTTTCCCCATCCCTGTCATCACAATTCCTCATAAGCAACACCTCTTATTCTTGCTTTTGGGGTCTCTCTAGACAACAAGATTTCTGAGAGCTAGAAGTAGCTGGATACATATAAAAACAAGCCAATTCTGTTTGTAGTAATGCATATTCTTCTATTTTATGCTTGTTCAGAAGTCTGTGTATGATAAGTCTACTATCAATACCCTGCCTTGAAAAGTAACTGCAAAGGATATCTGTTAGAACTAGTCAGTAAAAATAACATTTACAATAGGCTTTCAACAGGCACACACTCCCAGCAGAATCAGACCCCTGAAGCTTTCTCTATTTTTGCAATGCCACACCAATTAATGTATCAAAGGGGTTTGGCACACAGCAGTCCCCATCCACCACACAAGCAACTCGGCATCAGAACTTCCCCTATCATTAACCTCCTACAGTTTACACAAGGAGCAAACAATCCCAAGCACAGCCCAAAGGAGTGTGGTGGTCTCCCACTGCTAGGAGATTCTGCTGGGAAGGGCTGATCGCCACAGCAGGGAACCCTGTCACAAAGGTGACCACAACATCTTTCTGCCTTAGACACGCTGGTGCCGGGGACCAACTACTCAAACCACAGAAGAGTCATCCAACCACACTCCACAACTTCAGATCAGACAGAGATAATTCTGCTCACATTACTGTCTCCAGAAAGGGCTCAAAGTTAAGTTAATTCTGAACTATGCATCTGTAAAAGGAGTTAGGGGTTATGTTGAAGCTACTGCCAGGACATTCAGTTGTGTACGTAGCCCACTCATTTGTTCAGTGCTGGAGCAGGGCATATCAGAGCTTCCTGGACAGGAATGATGATAAAACCAAAATAATTAAGTTAGTAATACACTGATAAACAGCTTCTAGTCTTGATAAACTGTCACCTGACTCATGTTTTATGCCTGTGCCTTATCCCCAGCAACACTACCATGAGAGCATCAATATCCTCTTTCCTTTGAGACAAACCTCAGCAGAGGTGAAGGAAGAAGAAGGTATGCTGTTCCCAAAGCACTGCTGTACCTAAAACTAATCATGCTGATTCAAACCAACATAAAAGGAGCCACAAGATGGGGAAACACCTATTACAGCCCTTAACAAATCAAGAATTAAAGCAGACTGCCTTAAGAAGGCTGCATGGGCCAGTCTAATCAGAGCAGTTTTATTAGATTAGCAGTACTAGGAACTGTTAGCAGGGAAGAGACTCTATCAGGTGATTTGTAAAATTCCACTAGGAAGGGGCTCAAAGAGGATTTTGTCATGTTACCAATTCACCCACGCTCCAAGAACAGGGCACAGATTATTAGAACACCCTTCAAACCTGAGAACTTTTTTTGGAGAGGAAAAAACATCACATTGAAAGACTTCCATTATACACACATATAAATAACATGCTGTGTGATGTTTGTATGATGACAGTTGATTTCAGCTCTTAGAGTCTTCCAGCTGTGCAGGGCTATAGAAGCCAAACTAAAATACTGTATCTCCTTGGCTGGAGATATAATTCCAGTAGTGTTTTAATATATATAAGATATGAAAAGCAAGCTTCATGTGCCACAATTAGGCAGAAAAATCCATTTCATATGTAAGCTTCCAGCTTCTCAGAAGTTATAATATTTAGAAACCAGAAGAGACTTTTTATTGTAGCAGCAAACGTGCTGATTACAGGCTGCTACAACCTGTATTTTCCACCACACCCTCTTGAACTAGAATTTTAAATGGCAAAAGTAAAGCTACAGGGACAAAAATACTTGCTGACAGTCCTTTCAAACCACTACTGAGAATGTTTTTTTTATATTTCTGTTCCAAGAAGGGTTCCTTTCTCTACATGTTGTTTTCAAACTCTCATCTACAATTACTTACCCAGAATGCTTTCAGACCTGGCACTGATATAACTTTCCATGACTAAAAACAGTGGCTTTCTACCTTCAGTAACTAAAATGCCTGTTTTGTTACAAAAAAGGTCAGTTTACTGCTTTTTGAAGCAGAAGATAAAACTGTGTGGTGAAAATATTTACTTAGGCTGCATTAAGATGGGGGCAGGAACTTGGAACAGCACCTGTAATGATTTTACCTTCAGCAAAGCAAATCCTTTGAGAGGAAAAGTCTTTTTAACAAGGAGAAGCTACTGGTCTACACTTTATTGCTCTTAAAAGAAGCAAGTGGAATAACTCAGCAAAATGCTGACCACTTGCTGATCAAAGAACCCCAGGGCTGCACAAGCATACTCAGCAAAAGGAATGCTGCTCTTAGGGCAAGAGTCAGGCTGCCTTTTCCTTTGCAGGATACAGGGTATGCCTACACCAAGGATATTTATTAAAAAAAAAAAAAAAAAGAAAAAGTCTTTCTCAGTAGCATAGAAGCATCAGAGATGCATCATGGTTGGAAGAGTTTCAAATCATTTCAACTGGAAATACATTACTTCACGAGGAATATCACAACGAGAAGGAATCTTAGAGAAGATTACCAAATCAGTGAGAGAAAATCCTGCCTTCACTGAGGCCTGTAAAAATTTGTCTCTGTTATAGCACTTGGAGTTTTCAGCACCTCAGGCTCCATTTTTCATTATCTGTCCACATATTATTTTGTGTACCTTGTAATTCATAATTTCCTTCACACTGGGAAAAAACCCTAATGCCTACCAAAATCCTCATTCTTGAGCAGGCACTATCAATGTCAGCTGAAGCAACTATTTGACTGCTATTTATACCTGTGTAGATAGACAGCTTTCTCAAAATAGAAATAGAAAATAGAAATACTATTTTCCATGCATGCCTTTCTAGTCATAGCAGTTGCCCTAACAGTAGCTCCAGTAAAACCTCCCAGCACATAAAGCACTCCAGAATAACAACACATTGCTCCATCTGTGACACCACAAAGAAATTAAGGAGCAATTTTCTGCTTTATCTGTGGATTGCAAGGACTTTTCTTGGCAGTGGGGCATGGTGTTGGTACTTCTTCTGGACTGCAGCTCCAATGTATTGCAGTTTCACATATTTTAGGCACAACATCAGCATTCAGACATACTTGCTGACTGCAACCGTATTTTGGTTTGTTGGGGCTGCTTGCACTCTTTTTGAGCCAAGTCCCTCATTTACTATGCATTAGTCTAGCCTGCAGTGGTTTTGACACTTGAAAACTGAATCCTCTTCTGAGGAAACCAAGGCAGATGTGTATCCAGGCAGATGTGTACAGGGTGCTCTTGGTCCCTTAGGGAATTGCAAGGGTCTAAAATAATTTTGGCCAGTAATGAATCATTTGTGTGGTAGAGGTATTTAATCCAGAGACTGTGGTAAATCTAGCCCAGAGTAAAAAATCTCCAAACCACATATACTGAGGAACATGGGGGCCTCCGCAACAACTGTTTTAATCTACTTCTGAGCTACACAGTTCAGGAACTGTGTAAGTCTTCCCAGGACAAGGAGGTTGCTAGATCACTTACCTGACTCTCTCTTCTTCGGTTCTTTTAAGCTCTGCATCCCGTTGCAGCACCTTCATTATTGCCTCTTGTTCCTCCTCTGTTAGGAAGCTTAGGTCAATCATCTTGTTCTGTGTGTAGGGCTGGTAAAGTGCCTGGGAAAATCTTGGATCCTGCTGAGGACAGTCTTGTAGCCTGCTTTAAAGTTCTAGAAGTCTTTTTCAGCAGGCACTGACAAACCTGGACCAGGTTACAGTCAGTGGTTTAAAGAGTCACAAAGGCTGCTTTCTTGCATGTTTCCCTAGATGAGGGACTTCTGGGAAAGTGTTGCATTCCTGCTTGCCATCATTATAATGTCTTCTCAGTTTGTCCTCTCAGCTCTGCTTCCTGGATTAACAGTTCATTGACCCAGCATATCCAGCATTTGAGAACAAAAAAAACATTCCCTAAAAAAAGAGACAAGGAAGAACAAGTTGCAATATCAGGGATCAGGGAAGTACAATATGTATGCATTTTTAATTAAAAGAAACAAGTTTTTCAGTGTGATTAAATGACTTTATGAAGTTCAAATGGTCACTTCAAGTCAAACCTGTTTTACAGGCCTCTTGAACAAGGTGGCCATGAAAATATATTCCTCCCCAATACAACAACTCACACCCTAAAACATAGAAATGAGTGTCATACAATTGGTACATTTGTATTATACAAGTATATTTTAAATCAGCCTTACAGTTAGCAGAACAATTTGAAGGAAAGGGGAGATTACCACCCCACGAAAACAAGAGCACTTATCACAATGATTTAAAGGAAGAAGAAGAAAAAAAAAAGCCAAATCACTGTCCTACAGACCATACCGAATAAATGTGAAATAATTTATACATAATCATATTGAGTATGTGTAATTACAAGTCATGTGGTAACATGAACCTCACTGCTTTATACAAGCCAAACTGCATTTACAAGTAGCAATTTGAAACACTGTTTTGTCTCTGTTTCATAGGCCATGATTTCAGAGGACTATCCACTTAGAGATAATTCCAGCTATCAAAGACAAAAACCTCTTCTTCAAAAAAAACCTTAAGGGAATAGAGAGTGGCATGAGGAGGAGTTAGTTGTGTCTGTGGTAGGGTATCCTAGTGCCTCAGGATTACAGAGATGTGGATGTCAAAGCCTGAGTAAAAAGAAATAAATAGCTCAAATGTAATGCTCAGAGGCATGCCTAGTGCCAAGGCTGGTGAGAAACAGAAGCATATACTTTCCCTGGACATGTCTCTGTACTAGGCAGCTCCATCACAGCCCTTCAGGGTTGTGGGCATCTTCCTTTAGCCCTCACAGACTGGCACTGTGATGTGGCTGACAGGATGCTGGCCTCATATCCATCTACTGAACACTACAATCACACAAGGAGTCACTGCATTTGCTCCCCTGGCCATAAGAGTGCAACCAGGCCATTAAAACAAGATATTGGCACTGGCAGGACTCAAAGGGAAACTTCATTCTCAAAATCATAGCATGTCTTTTAGATTTGGTAGGGAGCTGTAGCCACCTTACTGATTATTGCCCCCAACAACTCCAATATCCAACTACCTTCTACATGTTTTTGTTTGGCTAACATATTTTCCCTGTGATTTTCATTGTAATTTTGTTGCATGAGGTTGATACAACAGCATCTCAAACAACCTGCCATCTGTAACTTCATTTGCATTTAGAAAATAATGGGTTTATAATTAGGCAAAAGTGAAAAGTGCTTATTATAGAACTACCAACAAAGATAACAATCCTAATTTTTTTGAGTATCTACAACGGTACTCCTTTAGCTTTGGAACAGGTATGGATATTGGTTTCAAATGTCATGTGAAAACTTTCTATACCATCTGACACAGCAAGCAGCATCCACACTGCTAATCCAAAGCCCTGGACACTAGTTGAAATGGCAAGTACCCAGCCAACAGGCACAGAAGCTACAAACCCTGGACAGTTGTGAACTGGAATAATCAAAGATTTGGCTTTGTTTCTTGCCCAAGATCAGTCAAGTCTGGAAAAAAGCTGTTGCACAGAATAATATCTTACCATGTCTTTGGTCTTTTTTGTTTAAAGAAGAATGAGGGAAGGTGTGTTACATTGCCTTATTATCTGAATTTTAAAATCTAAAGGAAAGAGTTAGACAGCATTTATAAAACCACCTGCAGATTTCACTGATGTCTCTCAGCACTCAAATACATGAAATCTGTGGAAATAGAGCTTCAGTCCTCCCCATCTGAACAACAGTTTGCAAGGGCACATCCAAACAGGCTGTGAGAGCTCACAGCAAGCAGCACTGCTACTAAACTTCCCAAATACCATCATTCTGTAGAGCAGTTTCTTCAACCTAGAGTTGCATCCCCACTTTGTTTTCAATCAGAGGCGAGATACCAAGATCCCATCCACCCTGGCAGGCTCTTCACCCATGATTCCACAGCTCTTCATAAACAAGAAAACCTCTTTCTATGTGTGTGGTGCATGGCCAATCTCAAGAGATTGTCTGATACAAGTTACAAGCAAGGTTGGCTTTCCACAAAAGATTATTAGCGCTGATTCCAAATACAGATGGCAAAAACTGCTAGCTTAGAGAACCTGTTATAAAACAATTTAAAAATAAAAAGTGAAAAAAAATAAAATTAGTGTCTTCCCCCTGTTCAATTCACACTCTAGCATCACCCCAGCCTCAATTATTTTTATTTATTTTGACATTTTCTTCTTCTTAAGAACCCCTATACATGCCAGGGAGAACAGAGAGGTTTGAACAGTTTGTTCGGTGCCACTGCAAGCTCAATGGCAAGGGTTTTTTTGTCAGAACAGTTTTCAGACCTTTCAAATAAGACTGAAAGATCCTTATCAAACTGATTAAATCATGAAAATTGATATCACATTGACTGACTTCCAAAGCAGGGTTTTCATGTGCCATATACTAACATTTGTGAGTCATGGCATATTTGCACAATTTTTTCCTTTAGACATTAAATTTAGGTAAAACCACACCAAAAAAAAAAAATCAAAAAAAAAATCTTCCTTTTAATGAAAGACTCCCAGTAATAAACAGAAATCTGAAATTATGTTTCATCCAACTCATGCATGAAAGCTTCTGTTTTGGCAAAAATAAGATACAGAAAGGCAACTCAAAATATAGTTTGCCCACACACACTCTTAAGCTGCTCTTGGTTTCCAAGCGGTTTAGGCCAGGCACTCATCCAAAAATTTTATCTTGTAAAATTTCTCAGAACCTCTCAGGCATCTGTATACCTCAACTGCTTTAAGTCAGAATTTCCATTTTTCTAAAACAGGAACCACAAAAGAAAAACAACTTTGTCTATAAACTCATTAACCCTACAGAGGTCTCTGCTTACCCTCTTACACTTACACTGCTTTTCCCCAAACACATAAGGGGAATGTTAATTTGAATACTCTATTCCAAACATTATGGGCTATTAGATTAAGAGGTATTACAATAATAGTTTAGGTTTCCAAGTTTGTGCTCAGTGTATACCTATGGGATGCAACAAGGGAGGCAAGGAGAATGCTGGAGTACTTTGCCATGGCTGGCACTGAGTTTATCAATAGAATCAGAAAACAAACAGCAAAACCCTAGAGTCATCTGTTCCATTCAAGATCCAAACAAGACCTCTGTCTGCATGCAGAAAACTTATAACGTCCTAAACTTATATTGAAAAACTACTTTTCAAGTGCTCCTTGTAAAGTAGACCCTAAGCTGCTAAAGCTTTGATCCAGAGAATGTGTTGTGCAGCCAATGCCTTCTAACAAGAGGAAGAAGAAGGTGACAGCCAACCCTACAGTTCTGGCTGGTTCACACCACTCTTTATGCCAACTCCTTCAGCTGAACAACTACCCTACAGGCCTGGCTGATCAGCAACTGCTATCTGCACACATCTTCATCCCAGAAAGCATTCATTTACAAGTAACCTACTGGCTCATAAAAATAAGAGGGTTTGGATTCATCCACTTGAAAGCTACACACTTTTCTAACTATATTCCTCCACTCTAGAACCTACCAGCACTAGTAACTAGGATGAGTTGGAAGTCCACACATAAGGCAACAGGAAGCTGAGGAAGACAGATAAATGCAATTGTGCACTACAACAATTTGCATCCGCAGAGGAACTCATTCTCAAAAGTAACCAAGTTTGGCCTACACCCATGCTCAGGAAATAATAAACCTTTATTTTGAAGCAGAGAAGACAATAAGAATACTAAGAACAATAAAAGCCTTGGAGAACTGGCCCCTACGGCCCTGGGAAGTTACATTGGACAGTTACGGCACCTCTGACTGCGAGCCCCACAAGCTACAGCTTTGCAACAACAAACAAATCAGTCTCCTGAATAAATTTAATTCTCCAGTGATATTTAAGCAGTACCATCACAGGTAACTCAGCACCAACCTGGGCTTAGAGATAATTTTTTTGTAAATACACGAGGCAAATCCCAAGAAGGCAGAACAGCTAATTAAGCTTAACACCAGTATTGGCGCAAGCACAAATGGTCATGAACATATTTGCTCAGAAGATCAGAGGATTATGGACTTTAGTTTGAGCAGTGGAGAAAGGAAAGCTATTAACTTTGAAGAGGGACTTAAGTCACAATTCACAGGAGTTTTAAAAGCTGTTGCCTGCAATGATCAGGACAAGAATTTAAAACAAGCACTAGAAGGCTTGTTGTCATTTTTATTCCTGAAGGAGCAGAAAGGAAAAGATCACCCAGTAAGATATGCATATCTGCAGCCAATCCAGCTGCTCCTACAAGAGGTGCTATCAGAATATTTTCAAAATTATAATAGCAGAGTATACACAGCATATCATATTTCCAACAGTCCCAGAGATTAATTTAGAGAAGAGTGTTTGCTAACATGTATGTTTAGCCAGTGGGAGGTAGGGAAGTTCTTATCTAGCTTGTTGTGAAGAGTGCTGGTAGAACAAGGACTTTTGCAGAAGTGAGGGATAACTATTTTTAAGAGCCATTTCAGTGTTGCCTTATTAAATATAGCAATGCTTCATTTTATTGCAATAATAAATCTATTTGTGCAGTATTCCTTACAACATGCTTAAGAGAAAGAATAGGACCAGATAACTGTTCCAAACAGCCAAAAATGGGAAGACATTAAAAGTTACACACAAGCTCTGCTGAACAGCATCAAAATAATCCTTGATGATTTTAATCTGTAAAATAGTTGCAGTCTCAAGATACTTTCACTAGCAGCCTCATATAGTGATGTTCAACCAGCTGAAAGAGGAAGAAGTTCAGCTGGAGTAAGAGAAGCACTTCAGAAAATTCTCATTTTCTCCCAGAACATCTGAACATTTGTTGGTCTGCATGACTCTGCCTGTGGTTTAATTTTATTCTTATTTGGTAAGACATTAAGACCTTCATCACTTTGAAGACTAAAAAAGGCAA